ATTCGCCCTCTCCTCTCTGGAAAGAAAGATGGCGGCCGCATGGGAGCCTTGTGGATAGCAGGTATGAACCGGGGGTCTGGGGGCGACGAAAACCTCATGGGAAGGGGGGCGTTCTGGCCCATCCTTCACGCCCTACCGAGGTCACCAGTCGCCCCCCACGAGCGGCTCTCCGGCACGACCACGACTTTAGAGCACAGAAACCAATCCCTTAATTATCTGACTTTTAGTAGAAATACTTCCAGGGTTAATAAGTAAAATAGCAGAAATCCAAAACCGCGCGGCCGCAATACATTTAATTCTTGAACCCAGCTGTAGAAAGCAAATCATTTCACAACACTTTTTAAGCATGTCTGATGGGGGGGTGGTTAAACTCTAAATAACAATGGTGCATCTTTTATCGAAACAATGAATCTAGTCAAAGTAGATAGAGTGTTAACTAGAATTCATCTGCCTCACAGGCATTGGGAGGGGTGGGAGGTGGGGTTTTATTGGGATTCATGGTAAAAAATAAGTATTGGTAAAGGGAAATGTGTTTGATATTTGCATGACTGAGACCTAAACCTGAAAGCTTTGTAACTTTTCCCACAGTGATTCAATAAATAAATTATAAAAAAACCCAATATTCAATCAATTTAAATAAAACAGATCCCTCTTCCTCAGGAAAAAAAAGAAAATATATTACAGATAGAACTATCTGTATTAAAAATCTCTGTATAAAAAATTCATCTGGATATAGAAAGAACATTCAAAATAAATAAAACACTAATACTTTTTCTTTTTTGGCTTTTGGGGTCACACCCAGCAATACTCAGGGGTTACTCCTGGATCTGCACTCAGGAATTACTCCTGGTGTTGCTCAGGGGATCATATGGGCTGCCTGGGATCAAACCTGGATTGGCTGCATGCAAGGCTAACAACCTACCTGTTGTACTATCACTTGTCCACTAATACATTATTTTAAAAATACATTGAACATGGGTTGACTGTGTGCAAGGCAAGTGCCTTCCTGGCTATACTATCACTCTGGCTCTAAACAGAACTTTTTTAAAAATCATTTTTTAAAAAAAATTTTATTCATTGAATCACTATGAGAGCAGTTACAAAGCTTTCGGGTTTAAGTCTCGGTCATACAATGAAACACCCATACTTTCACCAGTGCCCATTCTCCACCACAAAAAAACCCAGTATAGGGGGCTGGAGCAATAGCACAGCGGGTAGAGCGTTGCACGCGGCCGACCCAGGTTTGATTCCCAGCATCCCATATGGTCCACCGAACTCTGCCAGGGGTGATTCCCAAGTGCAGAACCAGGAGTAACCCCTGTGTATCACCAGGTGTGACCCAAAAGGCAAAAAAAAAAAAAACAAAACCCAGTATATCCCCATCCCACATCCTCCCCCTACCTGTGGGGCAGATGATTTCCACATTACTCTCTCTCTACTTTGATTACATTCAATATTTTGACACCAGGCCCACCATTATTATTTGGTATTTTACCCCAACACTCAGATCTGCCAAAAAGGCAACAGTAGACAATTGTTTTCTATTGCTGGTTATGAATAACATGATGTCATGTGGCTGCAGTTGTGCTGCGCAATTTTGAAATTTTGAAATTTTCACAATTAAATCTGGAGAGATTTCTTGCCAAAACCTGCTGGGTTCCAAGATTTGTTCCTGAGTCTCTGGGATCATGGCCATCAAGCAGCTTGATCAGGAGCCAGAGAGGCTGTTCGTGGGCGGTGACTCGGGGTCTTGTTGGGATGGGGAGGAAAGGGCCGGCTCCACCACCATCCCATGAGGCCCACGTATCTTGTCACTGCAGGCCCAAACCTGACTGTCCAATGGCCTCTGGAAGATGGCGGCCACCGAGCTGCTTAGGGGGAGCAGGCGGAGGGACAGTACCCTTTCCCCCCTGGGGTGGTCCGGCAACAGTAACCTACTGTGCGGTCTGCACACATTTCTGCCAGAAGCCGCTGGGTTTTGAGATTTGTTTCTGAGTCTCTGGGATCATGGCCATCAAGCAGCTTGATCAGGAGCCAGAGAGGCTGTTTGTGGGTGGTGACTCGGGGGCCTCGTTGGGGTGGGGAGGGGAGGAAAGGGCCAGCTCCACCCCCATTCCGTGAGGTCCCGAGTGTCTTGTCACTGTGGGCCCAAACCTGGCTGTCCAATGGCCTCTGGTGGATGGCAGCCACCAAGCCGCCCATGGGGAGCAGGCGGAGGGACAGCATCCTTTCCCCCCTGGAGTAGCCCAGCACCGATAGCCTACTGCAGGGACCAAACACATTTCTGCCAAAAGCCGTTGGGTTTTGAGATTTGTTTCTGAGTCTCTGGGATCATGGCCGTTAAGCAGTTCGATCAGGAATCAGAGAGGCCATGCCTCCAATTATATAGCTGAGCCGGAGGTGGTTTGTGGGTGTGTCTCCCACATACCTATCTTTTGGCCGTTTACTTTCTTGGTAAACTTTGCCCCAAGACTTTGGGGTCTGGCCAAAGGCACAGCAGCAATTTTGGGGTATCTGGAAGTCTGAAGGCACCATTAGGCTGCTGATGCACTCACCTCAGAGGTACAGATTGACCTGCTGGTGGCACCATATCCCCTTAAAATCATTTTTTAATTGAATCACTGAATTACAAAGGTATCTGTGATTTTCAAGCATACATTGTTCCAATACCAATTCCTTCACCAGTGTCAACTTCCCTCCACCAGTGTCCCCATTTTCCCTCCCACTCCCAAGCCTGACAGACATTTTCCCCCTCCTCAATTATTCTTGTGTTACCTTCCCTAACTAATCCTGAGTCCCACCAGGGCCCCACTGGCAAGCTTAGTTTTGAAGATGAGTTCTCCTGTTCTATTGCCATTGGGTATTTGGTATTTCCCTATGAACTTTCTTTTTTTCCCCCATGTATGAGAGATAATTTTCTGAGTCTGTTTTTTTACCTCTGATTTTATTCAACATGATACTCTGCAGACCCATCCACATAGCAGGAAATTGAATGAGTTCACCTTTTCTTACGACCAGCAGTATTCCATTGTGTATAGTAGCTATCTAGTCATCTTTTTCTTTATTTTTATTTTTGGGTCACAGCCAGCAATGCACAAGGGTTACTCCTGGCGGTGCTCAGGGGACCATATGGGATGCTGGGAATCGAACCAGGGTAGGCCACATGTAAGGCAAACACCCTACCCTGTGCTATCGTTCCGGACCCCAGACCTTTCTTAATCTAGAAGCAATCAGAAGTGTCATAAGTGAATGCCACTTTAGTGGCAAAATGCTGAGAACTTTTTCTTTTTCATAGAAGCTCCTGTAATGTTCTTTGCAAAACTCGTTACAAGTCTATGCTGTTCCCAAACTGTTGTTTACACGTGAAGCTTTGCATCAGTCCTTCAGATATGAATGATAATTTAGTTGAACAGAGTATCCTTGGCGAGGGGTTCACTTCAATGTTTTGTTTTTTCACTATATCCCGTCATTCCTTCCTGGTCTGTAGCCTCAATAGATCTGCTGTGATTGTGACTCTTACATAGTAGTTACTTCCTATGTAAATTCCTTCTTTAGTCTTACTGCTTTCAATATTCTGTCTTGGTTTTTGTTATTCTGATTACAACTTACATGGGAGCTTCTCTATTTGGGCCTATTTTTGCAGAGACCCTTGGGGCCAATTCTATCTGGATGCATGTACTCAACCCTGGGAAATTCTTATCTATGATTCATTTGACCAGTGGTTCTTTAGTGAATTTGCTTTCCTATTCCTCAGTGATTCCTATGGTTCTTACATTGCTCTTCTTGAACTCACCCCATAGTTGTCTGGTATGAAGTACCTTTCTTTTCAGTCTTTTCCCCCACCTTCTGTTGTTTTCTAGAGGTTTCTTACATCAGATCTTAAGAGCTCACAGACTATTTGTTTTTGTTTTTTGGGTGATACCCGGCAATGCTCAGGGGTTACTCCTGGGTCTGCACTCAGGAATTACTCCTGCTGATGCCTGGGGGACCATATAGGATGCCGGTGATTGAACCTGGGTCAACCACATGCAAGGCAAACATCCTATTCACTGTACTATCGCTGTAGCCCCAAGAGCTCACATACTCCGCTCCCCCCCCCCCCCCCCACTGCTGTTACTATTTCTGAGGCCTCCTACTACTTGTATTTCACCTACCACATTGGACAGTTCTGCCACGCCTGACTGTTGTTGTCTCATGTCTGCTTTTCTCCTACTTTCTTGTGTTTTGCTGATTACCTGTACCATCACTTCTTTGTGCTCACAAACACCCTGGTACCTAATCCGAGGGGTTACACCACTGTGGTACCACCACAGTCCTAATCCGAGGGGTTACAGAGCTGGCTGGTAGTAGTAGAGTGCTCTGTGCTACTTCCTTGACTCACTGAGCTTCTTGAGAAACCCATCCCTTGTGTCTGCTGTGGTCTAAGGGTAAGTCTTTGTAGTTTACTCTGTGGGAGATCTCTGAGGGAATAAGGCTAAGTGTTGCTCTTTTCCTTCTCTACCAAATCTCACCCAAAGACAGGAAGTGTTCAATGTGTACAGTGCTAGGTGCGATAAGCAGAGCTGTAGCGTGGCCAGAGGTTGGGCGTGGAGGCTGCTAAGATCCAGGTGGGAGGGAGGGGGCTGCATTTCCCCTACTGAATAATAATAATAATAATAATAATAATAATAATAATAATGGGCCTTGAAGGTACCAGCTAGAAAGTCAATCTTACCTGATAAACCAATAAGCAAGCAAAGGGTCTGGGTTCTGTCTGGACCAGCGCTTTGCAACACTTTCCATTTCACAGAAGCCAAGTGGTTCTTCATCCAGGGCTCACTATCTCAAAACCCAGGCACTACTGTAAGCAATGTTAGCACGAGAGCTCAAACAATGAGTCATGGTTCACTCTGGGTTCACATTAGCCCCCAACATGTCCAAGTGTGGAGCAGTTTAGAAATCATACTGACGACATGTAGGCAAAAGGAATTTCTAGAAAAAAACAGGCAAGTGCAGGTGGATGCAGGGCAAACAATATTTTATTATCACTTTCTCTCAAAATAAAGATACAGAAGTTGTTTTCTAATTCAGTATGATTAGACATGATTTATAATCTTAACTTTTTTTTTAAATTAATGACAACAGAACAAAGAACTAGTACAAATCATAGAACTATCAGAGCAAAGAGAAACTTCCTTAGAAAACTTTCTTAGAAAGGGTATGTGGAAAGTCTTTAATTCCAAATTTTAATTTCTGTGACCACTAAATGCCTCACCAACTTGTTAATCAAATACTTCCTAAATTAAGGAAATAATGACTAACTAGTCTGAAAACTGTACATCTTGATCCTATCTTCCCAGCTTTAAATTATTAATATAACATGAAAAACTATTTCCTAAGCATAGAAGCTTTCTAAAAACTTCCATTACCTTTTTCTGGCTCAGTACCTGACTGAAATGTTCAAATGTTTATATTACACACACACACACACACACACACACACACACACACACACACAGTGAGCAGCATACTACGTGTGTGTGAGAAGCTGATGAAAAGTATGATTGGATAAAAATCCCTACATCCCATTTACATGATTTAAATATATAGTTTCTATATCTTTAATTAATATAAGTAAAAAGGTAAAATTTAGAACAGCACAGAAATACAAATGCATTAGAATTTTACAAAATATATTCAACCCCTCAACGTGCATAATCTTCTGAAGTTATCATACAAGGGAGCTCATTTCTTCTCCTTCATCATGAAAGCAGGAAGTCACATGTACAAAATTATTTATATGAAAAGAATGAAGAACCACATTCCTTTTCTTTGCCCTTGACAAATATTTATGGAATGTTGGAAATTATGAAAAGTAATTCCAATGGTATGACGTACAAAGGCTTGGAATAAAAAACACTACTAGTGGCACATTTTGCAACATGGAATGACAACCACCTTCAGAGATGAGGTTTGTGTTTTTTACCACCAGCTATCAGAAGCTTAAAGGGTCTCAAGGAAATGGGTGGGAAGGCATGAACTCTGTGCTGCCTCTGGCCCTAGAATTCAAGCATGCAAATGGTGATGACATGGAAGGGTTCCAACCAACACCCTGATACAAAAGGCAGCATATAGCGGCTACTATCCCAACAGGTTATTCCTCAAACTGCTGAAGTAGAGAAAAGTTCATGCGTTTGGGGTCCCGCAAAGGTGCGCAGAGAAATGACTGTGTGCTCTTGAACTTGCCGATGGGGCTGAGGCAGGATCAGGGACTGTAGCTCCCAGAAATCAGAAAATAAAAGAACCTTCCTGTCAGTGAGATAATGTCATAGCTTCATTTCAAAACATAACCTGAAGACAAAAATTCAAACTTGTCTGTAAAAGAGTTCTACTCTTTAGCCTTTTAAATACTGCTCTCGAAATACTTTCATTCTAGTTTTTAGTACCATGTTTAGCAGCCTTGCAGCTTCTTACTTTTCTACTGTCCCAGCTTGCTTCCTGTTTACCTTTTCAAGGTATATTCATGTTTAAAAAACTTCTGGGCAAGAGGGATAGTACAGGAGGTAAGGTGCTAGCCTGGTATGCGGGCAACCCCAGTTAGATTCCGAGCACCAAATGTGGTCCCTCAAGCAATACCAGGAGTTACCTCTGCGCACAGAGCCAGGGGAACTGCCCTCCCTGTCATTAATTTTTTTTTTTTTTTTTTTTTTTGCTTTTTGGGTCACACCTGGCGATGCGCAGGGGTTACTCCTGGCTCTGCACTCAATAAAAAAATTTTTTTTTCAATGCTCAATACAGAACTCAGGAAGCAAAATAAGGTTGAGGAAGTTGATGAAATTCGCTCTAGTTTACTCCCCAAGAACAATGCTATGGAGTTAAAGCAAAAAAGTGGATGAGAATTACTTAAGGGCTTGGAAGAGGGGCATGAAGATCTGTCATACAGATTTTAAGAGCCAAATGTATATAACTTTCAGCCTTATTCAGAAGTGCAGCTCTGTCAGTTCATTTGGTTTTCTGTCTTTCTCTTGCTAATATTGTTACTATATCGCAAGAGCCCACCAGGGATTCAAACATGCCAGGAACTTTCCCTAAACACGAACTGAAGTCACAGACACAGCAGCCAGGCCACTACCAACCTACAGATATAGTCTGAGTGCCTGGCACTCACCCTGGAAGGGTATGCCCTGGCTGGAGCCTTACTTCCTGAGGCCTACTTAGTTTTCAAACACAAAAGCCAGGGGCAAGTAAGGCTGACACACAGCTTGTCAGCCTACCAGAGGGAGAGGAAGGACCATGCCAGCTGGAGTGGGTTCCTGGGACCCCTCAACTGGCCTCACAGGTTCCAGTTAGAGCCTGTAACTCTTGCTCTTAACTCTGCTTGCTTTCACCTCCTTGAGCTCCCTGAAAACTCCAATACTTCTCAGAGGCTGGAGGGAATGTGGGGTCATCTTTTAACCAGGTCTCCGGGCAAAGTTCTCCCTTCAGACATACTCACATTATGCAGCGAGCCACTGAAGAGTCCAACTATTCTTTTAAAGGGTGCAGGGCACACCGGGCACACAAAATACTTTGGTTCTGGTTTTAAGTACCTTGTTTAACAACCCTGCAGCTTCTTGCTGAGCAGACACTCCCAACAGCCCAGAACAGAACCGAGGGCTCCTGAAGGCAGAGCTTGTGCTCCAGCACCCAGGCCCACGCAGTCAAGTCTCGACTAAAACATCAATACAAAGTTCAATTACAATCAATATTAAAAAGGGAGGGGCAAGTGCTACTAAGGCCAAGTGGAATGCTTACACAACTGCAACTTTATTTACTTTATTTCACAGGCATTCTTTTTTTTTTTCTTTTTGGGTCATACCTGGCGATGCACAGGGGTTACTCCTGGCTCTGTACTCAGGAATTACTCCCGGCGGTGCTCAGGGGACCATATGGGATGTTGGGAATCAAACCCAGCTCGGCTGCATGCAAGACAAACACCCTGCCCGCTGAGCTATCGCTCCAGTCCCTCAGTGGAATTCTAAGTTGTGGACAACTTTAGAGTACTGAGAGATGGGCACGGATATGAATCACATGAATTAAAGGATGAACCAGCAGCCTGCTGCCCAACTCCCCCTGGTGCTCTTAGCACCTGAATGTTTGGCAGTTGAAAGGTATTCAACACACTACTGCACTAGCTAATGATGTGATCTCATGGAAAAGAGTGTTAGAATAATTATATACAGTCTCAGTGTAACACTGACTTAAGTATAATGGAAGGCTGTGTTTGGTTATTACTTTCTTCTCTTCAAATAATGTTTCCTGAGAAGGTTGACTTTCCTAAGAGAAGTGGAACTAATGGAGTTTTCACAATAAGTCCCTGGTTTTATCACCTTAATTCTTTCTTAATTCTTTTTTTTTTCTTTTTGGTTCACACTCAGCGATGCTCAGGGGTTACTCCTGGTCTTGCACTCAGGAATTACTCCTGGTGGCGCAGGGGGGACCATATGGGATGCTGGGAATTGAACCTGGGTTTGGCCATATGTAAGGCAAATGCCCTACCCACTGTACTATCACTCCAGGCCCAATCACCTTAATTCTTGAGTTACTTGGTTCAACTGAAAGCACAACTTTTAGATGTGGTGGACTTGTGTGAAAACACAAAATGGGAAATGGAGGGGTTTTTAGCTTATGTCCCTATGTTCATTTCACCTGTCCTAGAGGACTTTTCATACAAACATTTCAGAAGGGATAAATCAATAACCAATGTCTCTCTTAATTAAGCCCCCATTTTCCTAATAGTCTTCATATTATACGAAGATCATACTCACAATGTACTTTCCAAATAGCTTTGCTACTGAAAGCAATCTGTTCTATTAGTACTCCCTGAGAAAACCCATTCAAAGTTCCCATGAAAAACAAATGAGAGCTGAGCATGGCAAACACACAAAGTTCAGTTGTGCAAAAATCTTCAGTGGCCAGAACAGAGGCATGGGTCTAAAATGAAACAAAACACCCCTTATGAGACATGACTGATGTCATGGAAACTGTTTCTTACCTCTTGCTTTTCTAAGTGTGAGCTAAGATAAGAGTTCTACTTAATATTTGTGGACGATCTTGTTTTTCTTTTATAAATTTTTTCAAAAGAGAGGAGGGAATGAGAGTGGCAGAATTTTTTGGTCAGGGAATCTGGAAGGCTCAAGGCCTTGGAAATCTATAAACACCTGATGGAAAACTGTTCAAAAGAAGAAATAGGAGGCACGGACTTGGGATATGGAAAAAAAAAAGCCTGTTAAGAGATTAACATGACTGGAGTCCGAACTAATACCCAGGTCTGTAAAGTTTTGCCCTAACACATACTTTAATATTAAACAGCTCAAACAACCTTAGAACCGTGCCTAGCCCCCTGTGGTGACTTCTCTGCACACCTACTCCCACAATTAGGAAGAGAGAGAAAGTACAAAGATACTCCTTGATGCCACAGGCACATGTTTTTCAGGACCAGGGAATAAACAACAACAACAGGAAACAAAACATTCATTTCAGAACTACTTTCCTTGACTGTCAAGTTGCTGGGAGAAAGTAAATTGCTGAATGTGCTTTGTAGGCAAACAAACAAACAAAACTCCAACACACAGAAAAACAAAATAATAACAAAGAACTGGACTGCCTGGTCCCATAACTTTATAAGTACATTTTTAGGACCAGCTTTAAAGGAATTAAAATAGCAGTATAACTTAATTTTCGACGAATATAAATCCTATTGACCATCTGGACAATAAAACAATAAAATAAAATTTACATAAGTGAAAACTTTTCTAAAGTAAACAACGGTGTAGTAGCAGAACTTGAAACTTCACTGGAAGGTTCACTGTGTTTAATCAGGCTCAGACTGAAAATAAAAGTAGTCAATTTAAACCCCAACCTGAAAAGCCAGTCCTGCTCTGGTTGTGATTTCATCTTTCCAAGCATCCTGTGACATTCAGAAAGAGGACAACTGGCATGTAAACAAGTCCGACATACTGGCCCCTGGCTGTGGACCTGTGGCCAATGAAGAGGGACAGTCTGGGAACAGTGGACAGACAAGGAACACTTGACCCTAGGAAAGCAACAGTGGCCCCTGGCCTCAAGTTCATGGCTTCCCCTCAGGTGGCTCTGTGAGGCTCTGGGGCGTGGAACTCGTGAAAGTCGAGAGCCATGAAGACATGGCGGTCTTTGCACTGGAAAACGCTCCTCCGACTGACTGGCCTGGATGGATGAGAGGCAGGGAACAAAAGAGAAAAGATCTTCACTCTTGTCAGGACAGCTAAAGATGAACACCAATTAATAAATGAAAACTTACTGTAACACATGAATGTCTACAGAATATTCATAGATTATTCAATTATTATTGATTATAATAATTATTCAATTATTTATATGGAATATTCAGTAACACATGAGTTGACAGAAATGTCAATTTTCAAAGCACCCCCTTTTCAGGGGTACACCAATCAGGAAATGGATATTGTCATATGCATTCTGAAGGGAGTTGACAAACTCCTTCCTTCATACCTACACTGCCAGCTAATGGCACCAAACACTGGTTATGGATCAAAATGACCTGGAGAGGGGCTGGAGAGATAGAACAGTGGATAGAACATTTACTTTGAAAGTCGCCTGTCTAGGCTGAATCCCCGACACCCCATACGGTTCCCTAAACATCACCAGCACAGAGCCAGGAGTAAGCCCTGAGCGCAGCCAGGTGTAAGCCCTAAACAATCAAACAAACAAACAAACAAACAAACAAAAACCCAAAACAAAAAAACAACCCCCCAAACAGAATCACTTAGAGAGCTAGAAGAGTCCTATGTGTTCTCTACACCCTAAATCCAATCAGTACACAGTAGAGTGTAAGTTGTTAGCAATTACTGCTTTTGTCAACTAAAATGATGCTGCATTAAAGACAGAAAAGAGGGGAGGAGCTTATTGGCAGAGCACACAAATACTTTACATATATGAGCTCCAGGGTTTGATCCCTGGCATAATTCTCTCCCTGAAAAAAGAGAAAGAACACAAGTTACTTGCCCCCCTCTAATGAGACATACAGACCTCTATCTGCTCTGCCCCAGGTCAATTTTGCACTTTGTTTTTTTTTGGGCAGTGCTGGGGATTGAAATTGGCATCTAGCACATGCAAATTAAGTGCACTACTGCTGCACCACATCCTCCAACCTCAGGTCTACTCTGTTTGAAGGGGTACTGTCTCATATAGAGCTTGGTAACGGGACTTGTAGTATATACCTTAGATGAATGAGGTCATGAGTTCAGTCCTGGTGTAGAGAAAAAAAAATGAAACGTCTTAATCATATGCTCCCGCTATTCTTAGTATTATGTGGAAGAGATGTAGCCTCAGAACTTAGCAGCAGAAGTCAACAAAATGAAGAATTTCTCCATTTAAAAGAGAAGCAAGTGACATCAAGAAAACAATCCCATTCACAATTGTGCCCCAGAAAATCAAGTATCTAGGAATCAGCTTAACTAAGGAAGTAAAGGACCTGTACAAAGAAAACTACAAAATGCTACTTCAGGAAATAAAAGAGGACACGAGGAAATGGAAAAATATCCCCTGTTCATGGATGGGGATAATCAACATCATCAAAATGGCAATACTTCCCAAAGCACTGTACAAATTCAATGCAATCCCTATAAGGATACCCATGACATTCTTCAAAGAAATGGAGCAAACACTCCTGAAATTTATATGGAACAATAAGCCCCCACGAATAGCTAAAGCAATTCTTGGGAAAAAGAAAATGGGAGGAATCAACCTCCCTAACTTCAAACTCTACTACAAGGCAGTAATGATTAAAACAGCATGGTACTGGAACAAAAGCAGAGCTGCAGACCAATGGAACAGAGTTGAATATACTGACATTTCCTCCCAAACATATAATCATCTAATTTTTGATAAGGGGGCAAGAAAAGTGAAATGGAGCAGGGAAAGCCTCTTCAATAAACTGTGCTGGCAAAATTGGACGGCTACATGCAAAAAAGTGGGCTCAGATCTCTGCCTAACACCATGCACAAAAGTAAGATCAAAATGGATTTATGACCTCAACATCAAACCAGAATCCATAATGTTTATTGAAGACAAAGTCGGCAAAACTCTCCATGATATTGAAGCTAATGGTATCTTCAAAGATGTCACGCCACTGGCCGAGCAAGTGAAAACAGAGCTAGACAAATGGGACTATCTTAAACTAAGAAGCTTCTGCACCTCAAAAGAAACATTGACCAAAATACAAAGACAGCCTACAGAATGGGAAAGGATATTCACCAAGTACACATCCGACAAGGGGTTGATATCAAGGATATACAAGGTACTGGTTAAACTCCACAAGAAGAAATCACCCAACCCCATCAAAAAATGGGGTGAGGAAATGAACAGAAACTTTCGCAAAGAAGAAATTTGAATGGCAAAAAGGCACATGAGAAAATGCTCTACATCACTAATCATCAGAGAGATGCAGATCAAAACCACAATGAGATATCATTTCACACCACAGAGACTGATCCACATCCACAAGAACAAAAGCAACCGGTGCTGGCGTGGATGTGGCGAGAAAGGGACCTTCCTTCACTGCTGGTGGGAATGCCGGCTGGTCCAACCCTTTTGGAAAACAGTGTGGACGACTCTCAAAAAATTAGAATTTGATCTGCCATTTGACCCAGCTATAGCACTCCTGGGAATATATCCCAGAGAGGCAAAAAGGTATAGTCGAAGTGACATCTGCAATTGTTTGTTCATTGCAGCACTCTTTACAATAGCCAGAATCTGGAAAAAACCTGAGTGCCCAAGAACAGATGACTGGTTAAAGAAACTTTGGTACATTTACACAATGGAGTACTATGTAGCTGTTAGAAAAGATGAAGTTATGAAATTTACATACAAGTGGTACTACATGGAAAGTATCATGTTAAGCGAAATGAGTCAGAAAGAGCGGGATAGACACAGAAAGATTGCATTCATCTGGGGAACATAAAGCAACAAAAAGGGAGATTAACACCCAGGAATGGCTGAGATTAGTACCAGGAATTTTGCTCCATGAATGGAAGGCCAGCCACAGGCTCTAGGTGAAAAGGAAGCTCAGATAGAGAAGAGAATACCAAATGAAGGGTGTTGTGAGGGCCCTCCCAAGGTGGGAGAAGCATGCTAAAAGTAGTCGATAGACCAAACATGATTGCCACTCAAAGCCTCTCTTGCAAAACACAGTACCCAAAAGAAGAGAGAGAGAACAAGGGGGAATACCCTGCCACAGAGGCAGGATGGGACGGGGGGGTGGAGGAGGGATGCTGGGACCCGTGGTGATGGATGACGGGCACTGGTGGAGGGATGGGCACTTGATCACTGTATAACTGAAACCCAAGCACAAAATTTGTAAGCCTATAACTGTACCTCATGGTTTTTCACTAATAAAAAAAGAAAAATAAAATGTTCAGGGGTCAAGGATAAATGGCTTGCATATACACAGACCTGAGTTTGATCTGTGGTACTTGGTCCCCTAGCACTGCAAGGTATGGACCTGGTAACCCCAGCACTGCCTCGCTCAACTAGTGTGTATGTATCAAAATGCCCCAGTATTGAACCATGTGGCCAGGCATGCCAATTACAGACAGGATGGACCTTAGGGCTTTGTGTGCTGTTTGTCCTTTAGGGTTTACCTGCAGACTAACTCTCTCGTTCTGCCTCTCTTTAGTAGAAAGGTCAGGCCCAGAAGGGCCCACTGGGGTCAGAGAGCATTTAGTTCCCAGGCCTCAAATTATGTTCCGTGAGGGCTGGCCAGTCTCACCCAGATGCCAAGGGGATGAGTTCTACTTTTGTCTTTTGACATGACAAAGCAAATATGAAAAATTCTGATAACTGGTAGATGAGTTTTATGTTTACCTTTTGATATGACAAAGCAAATGTGAAAAAAATGTAAATAATTGGTAGATCTAAGATAACTGAATGGGTTGTATATCATTAAAATTAGAAATTATATAAACAATAAAAATAAAAAAGATAGAAAAGGTGGGCTGGAGAGAGAGCTCAAAGACTGAGTGCATGCTTTGTATGAAACTCTGCCATTATTAATTGTAAATATACTGCCTAAAATAAATTTTCTTTTGGCTGCACCCAGTAATACAAGGAATGCTCCTGAATCTACTCAGGGGTCACTCCTGGCAGTATTTTGGGACCATGTGGTGGTGGGTATCAAATCTGGGCACCAGCATGACTTGCAAAGTATGCACTCTTGCTCTTTGAATCATCTCTCTGGTTCCATCCATCTCCTATCCTTTAAATTGCTGTAAGAGGTGCAATGTTATCTTCTCTTTCCTTCACAAAACTGATCATTTATATCTTCTTTTTCTCTTTACAGCTTAAAGAGTGGCTTTTTTTTTTTTTTGCTTTTTGCATCACACCCAGTGATGCTCAGGGGTTACTCCTGTCTCTGCACTCAGGAATTACTCCTGGCAGTGCTCAGAGGACCATATGGGATGCTGGGATTTGAACCCGGGTTGGCCACGTGCAAGGCAAATGCCCTACTGGCTGTGCTATCGCCCTATCTGCTGTGCTATCGCTCCAGCCCCCAAACAGCTTAAAGAGTTTTACAGCACTTAACATCTTAAAAAAAAAACCCTGTGGTTTCACTTTTTATAAATAGGATATTACTTTCGTCAATAGCAGTTCCCAATGCCTAGTTTATTAAAACTATGCTAATAGAAGAAGGGTTTGGGCCACACCTGGCAGAGCTCAGTGCTTACTCTTGGTTCTGTGCTCAGGGATCACTCCCTGTGAAACTTGGGTACCATACAGAGTGCTGAAGATTGAACTGGGGTGAGACACATGCAAAGCAAGTGCCTTTACCCCATACCATGGCTACAGCACCATGTTCTTGTCATTTACAAAGAACTATGGGTAGCTGAGGTAAGAGTGTGTGTGTGTGTGTGTGTGTGTTGCAGAAAATCAAGAGAAGTTTTGCATCCTTGCTTGAATCACTAATAAAATAGTGAACATATCCGAAACTTTGTCACTTTCTGTCAGATGTGGTAAAGTCTGTCAAACAGAGATTATTTGATGCCATAGCAATTGTTTTTTAGAGGGGAGGCAGTCTCACAGTGCTAGGGAGGGGGTGCCACATAGTGTGAGGATTAAGTTCAAGGCATGTGCTCTGTCACTTGACCAATGTTCCCCTGGGTCCTCCCCAACCCCTCTCCCCCCAAAAGTTTTTAAACGAGTAAGACAAAAACAAAATAATAAACCCCTCCATCATTTAACAACTATCTTATTAGGTGACACACATATCTCTAAGACTTATGCTTTTTCATCAAACATAGGACAGAGACGATACATACTACACCGGCAACCTGTGCTCGGCTAAGAGCATGCCTTACCAACAGCTTTTCCTGTCTGTACAACATTCCGGCTGGTTGTGACCATGACGTTTCCAATTTTTTTGCCACGTTCACTGTTTTGAACAGAACTGAGTAAAGGAAAGAATTATCAAATATATTTAAAAAATATCACACAAACCATCTCAAAGTAGAATTATTTGGGAAAAGAAGCTAAACTATTGTTTGCTATACATAAATGAATATACTTGCTTACATTGTAAGCATATAAATTTTCAGAGAATACTCCAAGAATATGCAGATAAGGCTCTCACCACAAAACTGAGATTGTGGATTGGGCAAGGAAGTGGGCTGAAAAGGCCCAATGGACTACACTGGTACTTTGGTAGTGAGTGTGATAAAGAAAATTATGTAGCTTTACAAAATTTAAGTAGCCCTAAACCACAGAAACACTTATACCTTTGCAATTTAATGCCACTTCAATTAAAACACAAAAAAGAAGGACTGGAGAGATAGTACAGTGAGTAAGGCGCTTGCCTTGAATGCGGCCAACCCGGGTTAGATCCCCAGCATCCCAGATGTCCCCAGAGCACTGTTAGGAATGATTCCTGAGTGCAGAGCCAGGAGTAACCACTATGCATGGCCAGGAATGGCCTCAAAACAAACAAAACACCAAAAAACAAACAAACAACAACAACAAAAACAAATATGGGAAACTGAGAAATAAAATGTTCCCTAGAAACAGGAAGAAAAAAAGGAAAGCAAATATGTAGATGAGTCAGAAAGTGGTAGTGATATAGGATGTGATTGTCTTGTCATAATTTGTTTTAAGTTACCTCACCAGATTAAAAATGGCAAATCCTGTTATTAGTTCACACCATTCTCCATGAAACAGCAGTGTTTTCACTTTGAAACATACACACTGCTGAGTTAGAGAATGTTATGCACATATTTGGTTACTATTTGTAGCCCAAGTCTATCAAGTGAAGGAAAAAATATTCTCAATTAGCAAAGAAACACATGGCATGCATTCAGACCTAAGAATTTCCTCCTATTCTCTCTAAATACTTACTGTGAGAATCTTAGCTTCATGTCTGACACTGAGTACTGGCCTTGAAATGGATGGCTGTAAAACAAAAGTTTGGGTTAGACTCAAGAATATTTCAACAATCAAGCTGTGAAAAACAGCGATCACAGGAAATATCAATAAGCCTTGCAGGGGTGACTCGGCAGGGTGTGGGGCTATTGAGGTGACCCCAAGGAACAGAGTTTTGACCACAGATACTCCACAGCAGTCATGTAGTAACCCATGACCTTATTTGTTCATTTGTGAAATGAATGCTTTTCACCCATCTTGGGTGGGTGTTGGTGACCTGATTTACTTGAGTTGGGGTGGGGTGGGGTCTCCAGCATCAGTTTTTTTGGTTTTGGCTCTCCCTTGGGGGTGTTTGGGGAGACCATGTGGTGTTGGGGAATAAAGCCAGGCCTCCCACATGCAAAGCAAGCACACAGCCCAGCAAGTTCTCTCATTTGTCCAAGTACCACATTTTTAAAAAAGCTTTCCAAGATAGGGTTAAGATTTATGCTATAGCCATATTTAGTTCCTTTCATCTTCAAAACATATGCTACTGGTCATGTGAAATTCAGTGGACAGATTGGAATCCTCTGTACTATTAGAAAAACATAATGGGTTTAAGAAAGCTCACAGGGCAGCAGCACATGCTTTGCATGCTAAGAGCCCATGTTCAGTCCCCAGCACTGCCTCAAGCAGGGAGCAGCACTCAGAATTGCCGGGGTAAGGGCCAGAAAGAAAAGAAAAAGAAAGAGAAGTAATTCAGCCAACCCAGGTTCTATCCTTGGCGTCCCATATGGTCCCCCTGAGCCTCCTAGAACAGATTCCTGAACACAGAGCCAGGATTAAGCCCTGAGCACCACTGGGTGTGGCCCCCAAAACAAAACCAAAAAACCTGGGGGAGTGGTGCCAACAACAGGTCAACCTGTACCTGTGGGGTGAGTGCATCAGCAGCCTGATGGCTTCCTGATACCTCAAAATTGCTGCTGTGCCTCTGGCTCTACTCCAACAACTTGGGACCAAGTTTCCCGAGAAATTAAATAGCCAAAAGTTAGGTATGTGGGAGCCATACCCACAAACCACTTTTGTTTCAGCCATACCAGCTCACTTATCAGCCTTGCTTCAGAGACCCATAAATAAATCTTGAAAGATATCAAAAGCTGCAGTTAATCTTTTTTTTTTTTTTTTTTTTTTTTTTTGCTTTTTTGGGTCATACCCGGCGATGCACAGGGGTTACTCCTGGTTCATGCACTCAGGTATTTCAGGTATTACTCCTGGCAGTGCTCAGGGGACCATATGCCATATGAGATGTTTTTTTTTCTTTTTGGGTCACACCTGGCAATGCACAGGGGTTACTCCTGTCTCTGCACTCAGGAGTTACTCCTGGTGGTGCTCAGGGGACCATATGGGATGCTGGGAATTGAACCCGGGTTGGCCGTGAGCAAAGCAAACGCCCTACCTTCTGTGCTATCTCTCCAGCCCCTAAAGCTGCAGTTAATCTTGGACCCATGCAAGGCTGAACAGACCAGGGTAAACTGGATGGGGGGAGGGGTCAGCCTGGTCCCTTGCCCAAGCAGAGCTCCTGGCAGCCGCTTGCTCCCACAATTCAAAATTGCTACCATGGCCCTGGCTGGATTCCACCGTCTCAGGGTGGGCCTCAGCTAGATATTAACACATTGAAAATTCAATATATTGGTTTTGTGACTGAAATCTCCAGGCTTTACCGGAGTTGGGATGGGCTACCTCCCCCCACCCCACTTTCCTATGCTCCTGGAAGCACTGCAGTCACCCCCACAAACCAACTCCAGTGCCACCATGTAAAATTTTCTACTGGCCTTCCTTCACAGACCCATATATAAATCTCAAAAGAGATCAAAAGCTGCATTTAATATTGAACCTGTGCAAGGGGAAACAAACCGGGTTAAAAAGGAGGGAGCCAGTCAGTCTGGTGCCTGGCCAGGCAGAGCCGCTGGTAGCTGCTTGCTTCCCCAATCCAAAATCGCTGCCATGCCCCCCGCCGGACTCCACCACAGGATGGACTTCACTGAGATATCATCTGCTGAAAATTTGGGTATGTGGGTTTTGTGACTAAAATCTCCAGATTTTCTCAGGGTTGGAATGGCTACCTTTCCCCATCTCCCTGTACTTAAAGAAACCTTGGCAGGCACAGCCACACCCCAAAGCTGCCACCCAGTTACAAAAGCTACTCCAGTTTTTCTTCCTGATAAAAATACTGAATGCCCTGAACAAACACGATGACCTCTTAGTATTGCAAACCAAAACGCACAAAAGAAGAGCAAAAAAGAAGAAAAGTGCCTGCCAGAGAGGCAGGCAGGTGGTAGTGGTGGTGGTGTTGGGGGATGGTGGGAGGGAAATGCGGGACAATGGTAGTGGGAAATGTATGCTGATGAAGGGATGGTTGTTGGATCATTGTATAACTGAAACCCAATCATGAACAGCTTTGTAATGGTCTCACTGATATTCAATTAAAAAAAAAAAACAACCCAGGAAACTACAACCCCAAACTAGCACTTTAATATTTCACTTTAGAAAATAAGTGATAAGAGTATACAATAGATTGTATCAATTCATCTCCTTAAGTCTTCCACTTACAAACTGAGTTACTTCATAAAGGTCCTTATTCATAGCATGTTCATTTTTTATTTTTAAATGAAATAATTTTGGAGAGGTTTGAGACACAACTCACACCTGTTTTTGCTGTGTGCTCAGGAGTGAGCCCTGGTAATGCTCAGGGAACTGTTATGTGGTGCCAGGGACTGAACTGAGGTTGCAGCAATGTAGCTACATGTAACAATCTTACCTCCTATACTATTCCTGCACAGTTTAAACATCTTTTATGCCTAAGTATGATAAAGTTTTTGTCCAGTCAATACTCAACACTTTATTTACTAAGCATTAAATTTCACTGAATTTTAGAACCCGATAAGGAAATTTGGTTTACCTGTATATGTAAAAACTCAAATATCAACTTTAGTTCTTAGTTCTTTAGTTTTTTCACGTTTTAAAATAACCTCAAGCATTTGTTATATGCCTGCCAAGGAAGCAGGGGAGAGGACAGCAGGGACCTTAGGAACACTGATGCTGGAATTGGTGTTGAAACACTGTATACCTGAAACAATTCTATTATGAACAGGTTTGTAAATCCTAGTGTCTTAATTAAAAAAAAATAGAATAAAATAACCCCAGGCATATTATGTATGGTATGATGAGTGTAGTCAGTAAAATTATACTTTAGCAAATCTGAATGTTCCTTAAGATAACAGCAACTTTTTCCAGAAGGAGGGAGCCACATTTCCAGCTCTGGGAGGCTGCTGCAGCTGATGCTCAAGAGACTAGCTGGCGCAATGGGTCAAACCCAGGCCTCTTGCGTGCCAAATCCTGTGCTCAGTCTCTTGGACTCAAAGATAATAACTCCTGAAAGCTCCCTTTTCAAAGAGGGAAATAATACGTGTAACTTTCTAAGGTGACAGCTGGTAACCAGATTTACCCTGCAGACCATTTCACAATGTACACAATGAATCATCAGGCTGTAAAACCAAAACTAAAGTACTGTGTCAATTATATATCCTTTAAAAATAAAACAACCTCTCTTTTACAGCAGCAGTACTTCCTTGAAAGTTTCTACCTTATTTGACCATTCTCTGGTTTGACTCTACCTTTGATAAGGGAAGGGGAGAGAGAGAAGAACCACTATGTTCGAAGCATCATCACATGTCAGGATTTCCTCTTGGAAGCAAACAGAGAGCTGGGAGAAATGTGAGTGCTTCCAACAATGCCTTTAGTAAGAAATATGAACAGACAAGCAGTTTTCAACTGCTTTTCTGAAGCTGGGAGCCTTTTTATTACCTATTTGATAAGATCCTCAAAGACAGCCATAATACCATCAAAACTATGACTTTCTTTCTGTCTAGGCATTCAGTAAATCAACCATTTAATCAGTCTTCAGAGGATGCACTTACTTTGGATTTATTTCTGTGAGTGCTGGATGCCTGTTGCTGTTCCATACCCTGTAGTTGTGTGTGTTCTTCCATGCTGTAACAAAGGTTGTGCCATAGTCCGATAATATCTTCTCATTATCTGTCAAGTAAATATTTGAAAGTTGAGCTGGACTGTATAGCCTGTCACGGATGTGAAGGTAACCACCAAAAGGGGTAAAGGAATGGTTTGGCCTCCACACCCCAAACCACCCTGCTAAGGGAGAGAGAGCCTATGAAATGTCAGGAAACTTAGGTCTAGTTTCAGAAATCCTGTTAAGAAGCTAGGTGGGGGGCTGGAGCAATAGCACAGCTGGTAGGGCATTTGCCTTGCACAAGGCTGATCCAGGTTCGATTCCCAGCATCCCATATAGTCACCCGAGCACTGCCAGGAGTAATTCCTGAGTGTATGAGCCAGGAGTAACCTTGTGCAACACTGAGTGTGACCACCCCCCAAACAAAAACCAACCAACCAAACAAACAAACAAAAAAATGAAGTTAGGTGGCTTTTGGCAAAAGTCACAATCTCTCAAAAGTTCAGCTTTTCTAAATGGTAAATTAGAGGATTGAGCCAGATGTTTTCTAAAGTTCCTTACAACTCCAAGTATTTCCAAGTTTCTCCTTATCAAGGAGAGGAGGCATCACGTTACTTATTAAACAAAAACTATCAGTTGAACAGTGAGTAAAAGTATTGAAAGGAGCAGGTAAACAGGTAAATTTTTACAAATTCCACTTTTCTATGAAAATGACAAATAATGAACATATTAATTGATTCTATTACTATTTCTTTTTTTTGCTTTTTTTGGGGGGGGTGGTGTCACACCTGGCAATGCACAGGGGTTGCTCCTGACTCTGCACTCAGGAATTACTCCTGGCAGTGCACAGGGGACCATATGGGATGCTGGGAATCGAACTCGGGTCAGCCACGTGCAAGGCAAATGCCCTATCTGCTGTGCTATTGCTCCAGCCCCTATTTATTTAGTTTTTGAGGCCATACCTGGCTATACTCAGGGTTTATTCCTGGCTCTACACTCAGGGGACACTCCTGGGGACCATATGGGATGCCAAAGATATAATCTCAGTCAACCGCATGTGCAAGGCAAATGCCCTACCCTCTGTACTATCTCTCCAGTCCCTCACGGGTAAACTTTAATGTATGATATTTATCCTACTTGGAAGAATGAAACTTTTTGGAAAGTTGATTCAAATGATTATTGTTTCTCTATATTATTTATATCTTCCTTGCTCTTAAGGTGAAATATGTGCCTTTTGTTGCCAGAAAAAGAAAAGAAGTCAAATGTTTCCACATGCAGCAAAGGAAGTTCTATTAAGAACCTATTTCTTGGGCCTGGAAGAAAAGCAATGAAGACATTTGCCTTGTATGTGGCCAACCCAGGTTGGATCCCAGGCATCCTATATGATTACCTGAGTACCGCCAGGAATGATTTCTGAGTGTTGAGCCCAAAAGTCAACAAGAAAAAAAGAGAACATACTTCTTAAGGAGTTCATTGGGCTGAATTCCCTCTTTTGCCCTGGCTAATAGTATGCTCCTGAGTCAGACTACCTGGGTCTAAATCCTAGGTCAGTCTCTCACCAGATGGATGAACAAGCCTATAATTAGACACTCAGACCAATGGAAAAGAAAGCTGAGAAATAAAACAAAACATAAACATTTAAGTTATGATGAAGGAACCAAAAATTTATAATGAAGAAGAAAGTTTTGTCAACAAATGGTGTTGAAAAAAAAGGAGAGCTACATGCAAAAGAATGCAACAAAATTACTATTTCATACCAGACACAAAAATGAACTCAAATTGCACTATAGATTTGTGTATTAAGACCTGAGAGCAAAAAAATTCATATAAGAAATCATAAGAGAAACACTCTAATGGCAAGGGAAACAAAGCAAGAATGAAGTAATGGGAAGTCATCAAAATACAAAGTTTTAAACAGTCAAAGAAATTACTACAAAAACAAAAAGGTAGCCTAGAAACTGGGAGACTCAGCTGACAAGACTAGATATTTCAACAAGAGGTTGAGAATTTAATGAAAAAAAAAAAAAACACTCAACACAATAACAACAAAAATAGTAGGCAACCTTAATATAAATGGGCCAAAGACCTTAAGACACTTCTTCAAAGACGACATACAACAAATGAATCTCTGAAGAGAGCAGCATGCTGCAGAGATGTCTCCCCACCCCATACCAGGCTGATTTTACCAAGGCACCTCGGAGGGGGGGCATGTCCCTCCACCTACTCCAAATGAACCCTGGCAGCTGCAAACCTCCAGAACCCAATTGCTGCCACACTCAAAGCCAATCTTCACAGACCTGTCCTGAACCCCCCCCCCCCCCCATATGAGAATGAAACCACTGAAAAACCCAGGTATGTAGGACTTGTGACTGAAAACTCCAGGCCTCAAGGAGCCAGTAATGGCTTTCCCCTTCCCATCTCCCCACCCTTCCGAGATCCTGATTGCCATGCCCACGAACTGCTTCTGGGTGCCATTTTAGCGCATTAACGGCCATGATCGAGAGACTCGCAAATGAATCTCAGAACAGCGCAGCTCATTGCAGAGATGTCTCCGGACCTCAATTATTTAAAATTTTAGAATTCCAGGAGTACCTGGCCGCTTTTGCAGCCATGCGACATCTCATGCTATTCATAAACCTAGGATAAAGATGGTTACCGGAAGGGAAAAGGAAAGGTATGGAAAATGACAGTGTGTCATTCTGACAGTGATGGCTCTAGGATTTTCAGTGGTGGGTGTTGCGACACTGACTCTTACAGAGGTGGGGCAGTGACTCTTACTTGCAGGGCAGCAAGGTGTCTTCTTTACATGACAAGGCCCTGGGCTTGATTCCCTGAGTGTGCATGGGAACACGTACAAACATACATGCATATGCACACACACAGACACACCTCCCACCAAGCTGAAAACTACAGATCTGTTTTTTAGCTTTCATCTGTAAGTGAAGAATACAACTGGAGTCTGGGCTGTTTTCTCCCACACCTTCCCTTCCCTTTGCTGTTCTGTGATGACTGGGAGATGGCATATATTTGGTTGCGGTCCTAGAACTTGCTGATGGCTGCCACTTAGTTGGGGTCCCTGCACATATTTAATGATGGTGCAGCAGAAACTGTATTGCCAGTCATCCAGTGTGCTGAGTATCCACAATGAAAAAGATCATTGCAGAATTTCATTTTTTGTCTTTATTATATTTTCATGAAAGGAGATGTTTTTATTTTATTTTGTATTTTCTGGTTTTGGGGCCACACCTGGTGGTGCTTGGAGGCTATTGTATTTTGGTGTGGCGCTGGGGATCACTCCTGGCAGTGTCAGTGAGATCACATTTGCCATGTGGAGAGATGCCAAGAATCAAACTTCCAGCGTCACATCTGTAAGGCAGGCATTCTACCACTGAGCCACCTCCCTGGGCTTGAAGTCTGAACTTAAAACTCCAAATATTCTGTATGAAGAACCGACCTGGAAGATCGTAGCAAGGAGGAGGGGGGAAAAAAAAATCCACTGACACAATGGTGTGACATATCTAAGGTCAATAAGGGACTATATGCTAGAAATGGCTAAGATGGTAAAGTCAAGTTATGGGTACTTCACAATTAGAAGCACTGGAAAACTGCGGTAAAGAAAACTGAAAAATTTCAACACTTTTAACAACTCAACAGAATATTTGCCAGTGACCCAGTGTGCTGAGTATCTACAATGAAAAAGATCATTGCAGAATTTCATTTTTTGTCTTCATTATATTTTCACAAAAGGAGATGTTTTTATTTTGTATTTTCTGGTTTTGGGGCCACACCTGGTGGTGCTTAGAGGCTAGTTCCAGCTCTGTTGCATATCTCCCAACAGTGCATAGGGGACCCTGGGGTACTGGGGACTGAACCAGTCAGGCAAACGCAAGGCAAGTGCCTTCATCTTTGAGTGAGATGGTTTTAATTTAGGAGAAATTCTAAGCTTATCTCTCCCCTTTTAAGCTTTCAACAGAAATAAATTTTTTTAGAATGGGGCATATATTTGAAGGTTTAGCCACTCAGAAAGTGATTTCCTAGGATTTCTATTTTTTCCTTTTATATAGCTGAAAGATGTAAACCGTGTCAACAAATTTCTACATTGACAACTGAGAACATCACACAGCTAGAAAGTGAGGAAGTAGCTGCATGCTCTTACCTAACTGCACCGTGGCAGCCAGCAGTGCATGGATGTAGATTGCAAACTGGGCTCGGATCCATTCATCACCTCCCTCCCAGCCAGTGCCATCCAAGAAGACATCATCACGGTTCTCGGTCACATGCCGCACTAAGTAATCTGCAAACCTTAGGTCTGCAGTGGTGGGGTTCAGCAGCTTCCTGAGGTCTGGATCATGGATCTGGACCAGAGCATCTTCTACCTAGAAGGTAGTCAGGTACAAGTTAGAGTTTGGCAGAACTCTCACAGAAATGCACCCATGCCACAATCAACCACGACTACTGGGAAGTCAGATCTGGACAAGCAACAACATTTTCAGATGATGAATCGAAGAGACAAGCTTGTACACTACAGGCTTTTTTTTACTGAAAAATTCTCATTTTTTTAGAAAGCATATGTAAACTTTTTCATTTTGAATGTAAAACAAGTATTTTGGAAAATGTAAAAATCAGTATCAAAATCATCTTAATTACATGACTAGAAATGAATATAGTTCAATATTTTTCCATTTGAGAGTGAAATTTGTAAAATATTTTTATTAAGTAATATTGGATACACAAAATATGTGAGTTATAGGCAAGTTTTGAAGTATAATTAAAAATACTCATGAACCCCTATCAACTAACTTCAGAACTAGAATGTTACAAAAAAAATACTCAAGCATGTTTCAACCACTTTGGAAAACAGTATTGAGATTTCTCAGAAAGGTGGTAATAAAGCTTCTATTTTTTTTTTTGTGTGTGTGTTTTGGGTCACACCCGGCGGTGCACAGGGGTTACTCCTGGAATCACTCCTGGCAGTGCTCAGGGGACCATGTGAGATGCTGGGAACAGAACCCAGGTCGGCCCCATGCAAGGCAAATACCCTACCCGCTGTGCTATCGATAAAGCTTCTATAAAGCAATTCCACTTCTTGGTATCTAATTCCAAGATACAAACACATGAATTCAAAAAGAACATATGCACACCATTATTCACTGCAGCACTTAGTACAACAATTAGGATATGACAGTATAATATCTAGGATATGGAGTCAACCCAGGTGTGTGTATCAACCTAGGTGTTATATACACACTACATCTTTATGTGGTGTATATATATATACAATGAAATACTATGCAGCTGCAAGGAATGATAAAATCATGCAATTTGCTGCAACACGGATGGAAATGATAGATATCAAGTTAAGTGAAGTAAGTTAGAAGAAGGACAAATACTGGATTATTTCATTTATCTGTGGTTTATAGGTAACAGGAGAGGAAATACAAGATATCAAAGGTGGGGGACGGGGGAACCTATATTATCCTTGACCCTACATTATAGAAATGGGGAGGAGAAGGAAGGGAAAAAACCCAGGTGTGTGCATGGGGACAAAGGGTGGGGAGAGGCTGTGGAGGAGTAAGAAGAGGCAAATGAAAGGCAACAGGGGTCTCGGGCACATGAGTGGAGTAGAGGTGGTGTATAAGTATATATCTTAGCCACAGAGCCAACTACACTGTAAGCAGGAGACTCAAACCACAACCACCGAACTTAGAAATGTGCCTATTCAATAGGAATGAGGAGCAGAGGAACTGGGCTGTAGCAGGAAGCTTATTAGCAGAATGGGGAAGGGGGAGGGAAAGACAGGACAGTCTAGGAAAGGGCCCACCATGACAACGGTAGAGGGAAGTGGTCACTCTGGGCTAGAATGAGGTGCTGAAAGGAGGTAAAGTGACATGCATGATGCCCTATGAGTCCTGTAAACCAGTGCCTAAAATGGGGCAGGGGACGGGGGAGAAAAAAAGAAAAGGATAAAACCAGAGGCAGCTGGGAAGGCGGGAGGAAGGATGGGGACACTAGAAGAGGGGAGTGGACCCTTGTGAAGAGATGTGCTAGAACACTGTATGCTGGAAACTCAATCACGAATAACTTTGTAATTGTGTAATTGTGTATTGTGTAATCACGAATAAATTTGTAATTCACAGTGATTCGATTAAAACGTTTTTTTTTTAAAAATGTGCCATTCAGGAAGGAGGTGGGGCTGGAGTGATAGCACAGCAGTAGGGCGTTTGCCTTGCACGCAACCAACATGGTCGACCCAAGTTGAATTCCTCCGCCCCTCTCGGAGAGCCTGGCAAGCTACCGAGAGTATCTCGCCCGCAGGGTAGAGCCTGGCAAGCTACCCGTGATGTATTTGATATGCCAAACACAGTAACAACGAAGTCTCCAATGAAGATGTTACTGGGCCTGCTAGAGCAAAATCGATGAACAACGGGAGGACAGTGACTGTGACAGGAAGGAGGCTGGGGGGGTGGAAAAGAAATTGATATTGGTGGTGGGACTGGTGTTGGAACATTGTATGCTTGAAACTCCATTATGAACAACCTTGTAAATCATGGTACCTTAGTAAAAATAATTAAAAATTTTTAATTAAAAAAAATCCTTCAAAATTAAAAATACTGAAGTAACTGTGGTTCTCCCATCTCTTCCTTCCAGTCTTCCTCAAAATTGACCCTCAAAATTGATCTCTTAATACATATAGTTGTGAATCCAAGATTTTGTTGTAAACATTTTCCTAAGAAGGGCATTATGGTATTTTCTTATATAAACAACAAAAATCTCCGAGTGGCTAAAAAAGTTAATTTGGGAGGGAGGCCTCGCAAACTGGAGGGAAATGGACTCTGTTGGTGATTCCTAACCAAACAGGTTGATGGTTCAATATGGGGGCCCAAGGATGTAATGTGGCTTGGGCCTGTGGTGCCAGAGATCACCTGGGCAGTGCTGGGGGTTCCAGGATCACAGTGGCAGTGCTTGGTGACCATGTGGTGCTGGGACTCAAACTAAGGTCAGGTGCATGCGAGACATGTACCTTAATCCTCATAATACCACCTGCCCCATGAAAAAAGATTTTAAAAAAATTACTTACAACTGTATAAATGAATAAATGATTTTGATTTCTTACACACTATTAGGATGGCAAACATTATCTGTATTTTTCTTTCTCTTGATATCAGGCTAGAAGTATTTAAACAATAAACTTATTTCAGTTATGATATTATAGTTAGAACTATGTTGCTTGTGTTGTTCTCTTCTCTTTTTCTCTTTTTTTGGGCCCCACCCAGCAGCACTCAGAGCTTACTCCTGGCTCTGCACTCTGAGGTTACTCCCGGTGGGATGTGGGGACCATTTGGGAAGCCGGGATCAAAACCAGGTTGGTAGTGTGCAAGGTAAGCGTACTACCCACTGTACTATCACTCTAGCCTCTGAGTTAGTCTTGCCTCCCCTACTTTTCTAGAGTTTTGAGCTTTCTGTTCCTTAAGTCCATAGGTATAAAATACAGACAGTAACAATATCTATTTCACAGGCTGGGATGAGAACTAGATCAGTTAAAAGATGTACTGATGGTTTGCAGACTGCCTGGCACACAGGAAACAACTGTCACATGATCATCCAATTACTGTACCCTTCAACCTTTATTTACGGTGAGACCAGCACAGTTAAGGACACAGAATCGTTAGTACACCTACTTCCACAATGGCATCACTGAGATGTTTCTGTTGTCGAAAGAGGATGTTAGTAGCGCCAGCCACAAATCCCCGGACTGTGACATCAGAGAGAAGATGGTGCTGCTGCAGAGCCATGTAAGGCAAACACAAATATCCCTACAAATTAAAGAGCAAGAGAAAATATTACACAGTGAAACTCCTACCTTTCTCTCCAAGTACTCAAAGCTCACAGTGGAAAAAAGTGGCTAATAGTAGGAAAAATACCTCCCAATCTTCCCTCAACCTGAGCCATCCCTAATGCAGAGATAATACAGCAGGTAGGGTACTTGCGATGCACACAATTGACCCAGGTACAATCCCAGCATCCCATATTATCCCCTAGCACTGCTGGGCATAATAGGTCCTGAGTGCAGAGCCAAGAATAAGCCCTGAACACCCCGCTGGGTGTGACCCCAAACCATATCAAACAAAAAAATAAAACCCTAAACCCAAAACAACAGTAACAACAAAAACTGAATTATAGTTATCTGGATGCTGTTTTGTTTTCATCTTTATCAACGCATCTAGGCTGTGCCTTAACCTCAGAGGTAGTCATGAAATACTTAAGATGAGAGAAGACTTCCAAAAGGAACACTGGCTTAATAACTTGGTTTTACCCTTATTTTTAAGAATTTTCACTTGGTTTGTAAAAACCCCAGACAAGAGGCTGCAAAAATAAATCCACATGGGGCCGGAGTGATAGTACAGTGGGTGGGGCATTTGCCTTGCACACAGTCAACCCAGGTTCAATTCTCGGCATCCCATATGGTCACCTGAGCACAGCCAGGAGTAATTCCTTAGTGCAGAGCCAGGCAGGAGAGCACTGTTGGGTGTGACACCCCCCCCCAATTAATATAATAAATAAATAAATAAATTCTCATCTGTGCATCACAGATGCTTGGTACAGGTACTTGCCAGACCACCAGCTCTGGTGACTGAGAGCCCCACTCCTCATTCACAACCTCACAACCTTTCAGTCCGAACAACTGGGTCAAGGCTCATGGCTGATGCTTTGTGTCATGTATTTAGAAATAACAAACTTTCCAGCTCCCTCATTACCTGCTTCTAAGCACAGACACCAAAGTATTCATGACAAAATATTTATGTTGCAAGTTAGTAGGAAAAGAACATAATCACTCAGGTGAACATTTTAGAATTGATTCTGCTAATGTTCACTGTCAAGGAAATCACTGGTCAAGTCTATCAGCATGAAAACTAAGAAGTGTGTTTTCAAAAACCAGTTCAACGCTCTTAAAGGGACTGAAAATACAATCCTTAAAAAGTTATAATTGGGCCAGAGAGACAGTATAGCGGGTGGGGCACTTGCCTTGCAAACAACCATTATACATAAATTAGTGTGATACATCATATCAAAAAAGGAGAGAAAATTCATACAATCATATCAACTGGTGGAGCAAAAGCTGACAAAATTCAATATCCATTCATGATAAATAATCTTCAACAAAATAGGGATAGAAGGAACAGTCCTCAAGACAGTAAATGTAACAGTCAATTACAATGAACCTACAGTCAACATCATAATCAATGGCAAAAAACCTGAAAGCTTTCTCTCTGAGATCAGACACAAAGCAAGATGTCCTTTTTATTCCACTGCTATGCAATATAGTATAAAACTCCTTGTGACAAGAGGCACAAAAAAGAAATTGAGGGAACTATTTATAGATGAGATGATCATATACATGGAAGACTCTAAAGACTTCACTAAAAAACTTAGAAACAATAAAACAGTAAGACAGCAAGCTACAAAACCAACACACAAAAAATAGGCCACATTTCTATAAACAAAAAAAACTAGAAATTAAAAAAAAATCCTATTTATAAGTTTCCCAAAACATAAAATACCTAGAAATAACTTTAAAAACTTTAAAGGTCTGGACATCTGCACTTGTTTGTTCATTGCAACACTCTTTACAATAGCCAGAATATGGAAAAAACCTGAGTGCCCAGAACAGATGACTGGTTAAAGAAACTTTGGTACATTTACACAATGGAGTACTATGTAGCTGTTAGAAAAGATGAAGTCATGAAATTTACATACAAGTGGTACTACATGTTAAGTATGATGTTAAGCGAAATGACTCAGAAAGAGAGGAATAGACATAGAAAGATTGCATTCATCTGGGGAACATAAAGTAACAAAATAGGAGACTAACACCCAAGAATGGCCAAGATTAGTACCAGGAATTTTGCTCCATGGCCTGGAGGCCAGCCACACATGCTAGGGGAAAAGGCAGCTCAGATAGAGAAGGGAACACCAAATAAAGGGTATTAGGAGGATCCTCCCAGGATGGGAGAAGCATGCTGAAAGTAGACTATAGACCAAACATGATTGCCACTCAATGCCTCTTTTGCAAACCACAACACCCAAAAGGAGAGAGAGAACAAAGGGGAATGCCCTGCCACAGAGGCAGGATGGGATGGGGGGATGGGGGGTGGGAAGGATACTGGGATCAGTGGTGGTGAGAAATGGGCACTGGTGGAGGGATGGGTATTTGATCATTGTGTAATTGAAACCCAAGCACAAAAATTTGTAAGTCTACAACTGTACCTCATGGTGTCTCACTAATAAAAATTTTTAAAAAAATTAAAGGTCTGGCCCTTCCCAAAATAAATTAAAAACTTTTAAAAAATCAACTTTAGAACATTTAAAACATGATGTGAAAGACTTATACACTGCAAACCAAATCACCATAGAAAGAAAAAATAGAGGACATCAGGAAATGGAAAATATTCCAGGTTCATAGATTGTAAAAATTTACATTGTCAAAATGACTATCTTACCAAAAGCTTTATAGAGGTTCAATACAACTCCCATCAAAATTCCAATGACATCGTTCAAGAATTTTGAACAAACACTGCTAAAATTTGTATGGAATCACAAAACTTCCCAAATAGTTAAAACTATTCTGAATAAAAAGATGGAAGGCATCACATTTTCTGACTGTAAATTTTACTATAAAGTTAAAATAATGAAAAAGGTGTGGTACTAGAATAAAGACAGACTTTCAGAACAACCAAGACCAATTGAGTGCTTAGAGGACAGTAATCTGTGACAAATGAGGTGAGTACATTAAGTTTAGCAAGGAGAGCTTCAGCAAATGGTGCTGGGAAAACTGGATAACCAATGCAAAAAAAAAAAATTGAATTTGTATCTCTCACCATGTAGAAAAGTTAATCCAAAGTGTATTATAGATTAGGCTAAAATCCATATAATATACTGAGGAAAGCCTAGAACTCTCCAGATCATGAACTTCAGAAGTGTTTTCAATGACTTGACTCCACTGGTAAAGATAAAAACCAAATAAACAGACTACATCAAAATAAAATGTTTTTACATGGCAAAAGAAACTCAGGCTAAAATAAAAAGATATGGGGCCAAAGCAACAGTACAGTGGGTATTATGCTTGTCTTGCACATAGCAGACTGAAATTTGATCCCTGGCACTATATATGGTTCCCTAAGTTCAGCCAGGAGTGATCCCTGAGCAGAGTCAGGAATAAAGCCTGGGTACCACTGAGTGTGGCCCCAAAACCAAACTAAAAAAAGAACAGAGCTTCCATAAGACCCAGAAAACTTAATTCTTGGCACCTGCCTACCCAAACACAAGAACAGTATATGCACATCTCTGTTCATTGCAGCATTACGTACAATAGAAAGGGTATGGAAACAACTCAAATGTCCAAAATCAGATGCATGGATTAAAGAAGTTGTTTTGTGTGTATACACACACACACCTACACACGTATGTGTGAAATACAATGTACCCATAAGAAAAGATGAAATTTTTGCAGTTAGCTGCAAGTTGGAGGCAACTGGAAGATATCAGGTTAAGGGAAATAAGTGAGAAAGAGGACAAATACCAGATGCAGTCATGCACCTGTGTATGTACAAAGAGAAATAAAACAATGAATTAGACAGTATCAAATAATAACAACCCCCTGGCCTGAATTACAAAACTGGAAATACCAGGCAAGGGAGGGAGGAGGTAGAAGAGAATGAAGAGGTGAAATGGAAGCAACATAAGGACACTGGTTGGTTGATGGTGAGGTACAGTAATTAGGTATACCAAACCCACAGATAAAACACTATTATAAACATTTAACTGGGCTATTATAACTAAAAATACAATCCTGGGGCCAGAACTATTAACACAGCAGGTACAGCATTTGCCTCGCATGCAGGTGACCTGGGTTCAATTCCCCAATCCCCATCTTCCTATGTGGTCACTGGAGCCTACCAGGAGTAATTCCTGAGTGCAGAGCCAGGAATAAGGTTGAGTACCTGCTGATTGTGGCTCCCAAACAAACAAAAAACCCAAAACAAATAAACTAACCCAATTCTACTTTAGTTTAATCATAAAACCAATTAAGACAATTTCAGAATTACGTCCCCGCTCTACCCCCAGTAAACCACAAATAAACAAAGAAACAATTCTCTGTTAACCCACTGCACTGCACTGCCCTGTCCTCCCGTTGTTTATTGATTTGCTGGAGCGGGCCCAGTAATGTCTCCATTGTAAGACTTGTTACTGTTTTATGGCATATCAAATACGTCATGGGCAGCTTGCCAGACTTTGCCATGCGAGCGAGATACTCTCAGTAGCTTGTCAGGCTCTCAGAGAGGGGCAAAGGAATTGAACCCAGGTTGGCCTGGCTGGCTGCCTGCAAGACAAATGCCCCCCAGCCCCCCCACTGTGCTCTGTTAACCCACTCAGTAATAATCATCCAGGGGAACAATTCTTTTGAAAAATGAAGTCAGAATTACAGTGAAGAAATATTTTCAATACTACTCTTCTTTCTTTACAAAATTATGTTTTAATTTGTGTATAAAAAATAGTATTTAGAGGGAGCCAGAGTGACAGTATGATGGGTAGAGCTCTTGTCCTGCAGGCAGTCGAGCTGAGTTCTGATCCCTGCCACCATACGTGCTCCTTCAAGCCCTACCAGGTGTGATTCCCTAAGCACAGAAACAGTAGTAAGCACTGACCACAGCTGGGTGTGGCCCCAAAACAAAACAATAGCGTCTGGAGAAAAACAAGATTTTTGCTTTAATTTTTGGAAAGATGTTCCCATTTGTTATGGTAGACTGCAAGATTATAGATGGCAAAAATTTAGAAATCTGTATAGTTTCTGGTACACAGGAGAGCAATCAATATTTTGTAAGGAATAAAATTAAAAAATTTCCCAATTCCATTCTGAAAAGTAATTCACAAATGGGAATGTACAAAAAAGAAGTACTTTTTTTTTTTTTTTTTTTTTTGCTTTTTGGGTTACACCTGGCAATGCACAGGGGTTCCTCCTGGCTCTGCACTCAGGAATTACTCCTGGCGGTGCTCAGGGGAACATATGGGATGCTGGGAATTGAACCCGGGTTGGCTGCGTGCAAGGCAAATGCCCTACCCGCTGTGCTATCTCTCCAGCCCAGAAGTACTTTTTTTGAGTAGGAAAAAAAGCACCTCCACCCCAAACACACACACACACACACACACACACACACACACACACACACACACACACCACAGATGCATGCACGCACCCCAATGATAATGCTTCCAGAATCTTAATGTATTATTGACATTTAAAAACACAGGCCTTGGGTTTAATCTGAAAACAAACTGACAAATAAACAAACCAAAAAAAATAGAAAAACATACTGTAGCCTGTAAAATCCTGAATCAAGATATCCAACTAGATTATAATGTATTTAAGTTATTTTGAGAATTTCAAATATATTTCAAAGGTTTTTCATAGAAATATTTAAAAGCTAATTTTTAGGGAAAGCTAATCAAAAAACTCTGAGATACACAAATACATTTTAGCTGCCTGAACATTTGTTCCTTATAAAACTGTACTCTTTGGAATGGGAGGGCTTTTTAATTTTTTTGGTGGGTTATAGGTCACACCTGGTGATGCTCCCAACAGGGCTAGGAGGACCAAAGTGTTGGGGAGCAGACTGGGGGTCAGTTACATGCAGGCAAGCGCCTTAAATGCCATATTATTACCCTGGTTCAGGAATACTAATATTTTAATATTCTTTTCCAATCAGTTCCCTAAATGATGTCCTTGTAGCCTTATATCATGCAAACAGATGCCTCAGGACTATACATCTGGTCTGTATTTAGTTTGTAAGGAAGATGTTTTCAAGTTAAATTCCCAAAGAATGTTGTCAGCTTCTTTAAAGTCCTCAATTCTAAAGGATTCTAAATGACACTAAACTTTACCTTTGTGAAGATAGCCAGGGGCATGCCATACTGATCTTCTTCCAAACCAGAAATCAGTCCTGGTATGAGGACCACTTGGCCTGTATTAGCTTGAGGCTGTACTGTAATCGGAGGAGTGTCTGCAGGCACCGAGTCCTTTGGAAATGAGTTTGTCTGTTCTGACTCCTCCTGCTCTTTTTCTTTCAAGGTATGGTCCTCTAAGACATTAGGATCCAAGGTTTCCCAGTCACTTTCTGAAGACTCTGGGGATGGGCGTAAAGGGGGTTTCAAATATTGATTGGTATCCCTGGGTTCCTGTTCTTTGTTATTGTTGTTTTCCACTTGGAACAAGGATTCTTCCGTCGTGATGGCAACATCTCCACCGTGGTGTCCTATTGTGATTTTCTTGACAGTTCCCATGTTGGTATTTGAAATGCCAGGAGCAGACACAGAAACAAAATCATCTGCAGAGGGATTGCTTTCTTGAAGCCCAGCATCTTCAGACATACTCTTTCGAGGTCTGTACTGAGAACAGTCACTGAGACCATGCTCAATCATGCCTGAAACATGAAACAGCTTGATTTTAAAGTAAGCTCTTTATTATAAAACACAAAACTCAAAAATTGGTATGATAGTTAGAAAACAGCTTGATTTTTAATGGGTTGACAAATTACTGTATTTACTGTCCTACAAAGCAAAACTCTCCTATGAAAGTTTTAATAAGCCATGATTGCATGTTTTAACACACAAAATAAAAACCTTAGACAAAAGAGAAAACTAATGTAAAAAAAAAGTCGCAAATAAAAATAGAACTGCTAATCCCAATCAGTTTATCCTTAAGAAATTTTATCATTGAAAATTCCACTATAAAGCTAAGTATCAGTACTTAAAAGAAAGTAAGTATCAGTATTCCTCACCTGGAAAAAGGGATAACAAAGTCATGAGGGCACCCACCAATTTATTCACTGGAGAAATATAAAAGAGAACCTGAAATAGATTCAATCAAACTTAAATTAGACATCCTTGAGTTTATAACACTTAAAAAATGTCTGGGGAAGTTAGGAGGAAAACTCATTTTATTCAAGAATAACAGTGAAGAAATATAGAATCAGTGACAGAAACAAACCCTCCCCCCTGCCCCCCAAGCATCCACTATGACTCAAGTAAAAATTACCAATGGATACTAAAACTATAGCAAAAGGTTGTGCAGCCAGAGGACATTCAGGCAGTCTTAAACTTTGTACCCCAGAGATTATCTACTAATTTCAAAGGGGGAAAAAGGTACCTTCAAATGAAGAAATCTGGCAACCCCCACCTTAGCCAAAAAAGGTGGCTAATCAAATTTCATATCACCAAAAACAGCAGAAACATTTATGGGCTTCCTGATGTGATATGCTAAGCAGGAAACATTGCACCTTTATAGAATTCTCACCAAAAAAAGTGTGATGAGAAAGTAGCCACAAAGAAACACACAAATCCAATAGTATAATACAACTACTCTGAATTCTCTTTATTTTTTGTTGCAGTTGTTGGGGCAAGACCTGGTAGTAGAGTTTGGGGGCCATGCCCAGAGGTGTATGGAGTCATACAAGCAGGGGTTTAAATCAAGGATTTCACACAAGCAAAGCAAATACTCTACCACCGAGTTAAAAACCACAGTTCCATGTCAAGATTCTTCGAAACAAACAACCCCTCCCCATCCCCTACTAAAATCTCATGGGACTAAAAATCAAAACGAATCAGAAAAGAGCAAAGAGAGCTAATAAGATCCTTTTATCTAAAGATTCAAAAATAGCCAGTCAGAAAGGACAGGTCTACATCTGAGGAGACTTGAAAATTAACTGTATGTTAGATATCATTTATTGAATCAATGCTAAATTTCTTGAACATAAAATGCTAATTGGCTCAGTAGGATGATGCCTTTATTCTTTTTGCTAGTTTTCTTTGGTTTGAAGGACACCTCCCCCCGCCCCAAGTGAGCTCATCTTAGTAATTCTAGCCTACTAGGCCCAAGTTCAATATATACACAACCCTTATTCTTTTTTAAAAAATATTTTTAAAAAATTTTATTGATTCACCATGAGATATAGTTACACGCTTTCATGTGTGAATTAAAATCACACAATGATCAAACACCCATCCTTCCACTAGTGCACATTCCTCACCACCAATATCCCCAGTATACCCCGACCTTTCCCACCCTCCCACTGTCTCCATGGCAGACAATATTCCCCATTCTCGCTCTCTACTTCTGGGCATTATGGTTTGCAATGCAGATAATGAGAGGTTATGATGTATGGTCCTTTATCTACTTTCGGCACACCTCTCCCATCCCGATCGATTCCTTCAACCATCATTTTCTTAGTGATTCCTTCTCTATTCCAGCTGTCCTCTCTCCGACTGCTCATGAGACAGGCTTCCAACTATGGAGCAATCTTACTGACCCTTATATCTACTGTCCTTGACAACCCTTATTCTTAAGAAATACATTTTACTTAGAGATAAATACCATGATTCTTCAAATAACTTTCAAAATATGATTTGAGAAAAATGAACATATAAAAACTATACTGGGCACTGAGAAATCTCTAATATCCATTCCACCCTACTTCACTGAGTGCAGTAACTCGAAACATAAAATTCCACATCCAGGAAAGGCTCCTCATTAGCTAAAGTAGAGGTGAGAAAACTTTTCCTAAAAAAAAAGGGGCAGATAATGGTCTCTGACATGACCATTAAACTCTGCCTTTTTAGAGTGAAAGCAGCTATAATAATAGATGAATGGGTGTGACTTATTTACAAATATAGGTGGTGGACCGTTAGTCCCAAATCTTTGACCAAAATCATGGGAATCCCTGTTCTCTGTACTAGAGTGGTCTGAAACCCAAATTTAAATGCTTTTCTTTTTTAAAAACAATTATTAGCTGAGGGTAGGCACATGGTATTACAAAGCCAAAAAAAAAAAAAAAGAAATTAAAAGGAAGGGATTCTTAATAAATGGTTTGGAAAGAGGCAAAATTGCTGCTGCTCCTATCCTAAACAACAAGGGACTATGCTCTGAATGAAAGTGGCACTTTTGTCTGTAGAACAAAGAGACAGGGGAAAAAAAACATCTAGTTACTGAATTGCACAGTTGAGCCAGTCACCAACTCTATAAAGTCAAAAATGAGCCAAGGTTCATCATCTAAGTCAGTTTAGATTTTTTTTCTTCTACCTATAGCCAAAACCATTCTGATAATTAAACAGTATCAAACTGTCTCCATAAAGATGTTATGAATTATGTTTCTAGGCCTGAAAGTCTTATCATTAGTTTAAATTTTACATGATGTTTAAGAAATGTTAGTCAATGTGAAATATTCAAATCTCACCTTTTTTTCAAGAAGAATTAGTTTAAACAGAATTAAAACCTAAAGAAAAAAATATTATATTAAAATAAATTCAAGCTTGTTATACATTTACTTCCGCCAATATAACAATGTATCAATCAGTACTATCAAATTATGGTGCTTTAAAAAAAAACACTAAAAGTGGCAAAATTACATTAAGAAATTAGATATTATCTATACCTCCCCCCAAAATGTAAGAACCACTTAAATCTTTTTTTTTTTTTTTTGCTTTTTGGGTCACACCTGGCAATGCACAAGGGTTACTCCTGGCTCATGCACTCAGGAATTACTCCTGGCGGTGCTCAGGGGACCATATGGGATGCTGGCAAGTGAACCCGGTCAGCTGCATGCAAGGCAAATGCCCTACCCGCTGTATTATTACTCCAGTCCCAAACCACTTAAATCTTTACTTATTTAGTGGGGGGTGATTTTGCTATACCCAGAAGTGCTCTGGGTACACTTAAAGCTGTGTGCTCAGGGGACCATATAAGGTTTGGACCGGGCTGGCTGCGCAAGGCAAACGTATTAACCCCTCTACTATCTCTCTGGTCCAACACTTACATACTCTTAAAGAAATTTCTATCATATGAACATGACCACTTTCATTTTTACATTGTTAGGAGAGCTATCTTAGAACTAAAACATGGTTATGTCATAATCTGCACTGGACCATGTAACACAGAAAGTTTACTACCTTGTTAAACGACAACAATTCAGTACACCATCAATTAAAGTACCATACCTTGTGTCGAAAATGAAGCACAAGATCTCGAGGAGACAGACCTACAATAGTAACAAAAAATGACTCTATAAACACACCGTTTTGGTGAAAGAAAGAACCCCCTACCCCACCAAAGGAAGGTTTAAAAAAATCATAAATCCTCAAATATTAAATATGTCTTTAGGGTCCAGAGTGATAGTACAGTAGGTAGGATGTTTGCCTTGCACGAGGCTGATCCGTGTTCGAACCCTGGCATCCTATATGGTCCCCTGAGCACCGCCAGGAGTAATTCCTGAGTGCAGAGCCAGGAGTAACCCCTGAGCATTGCTGGGTGTGATCCAAAAAAGCAAAAAAACAAACCAACGAACAAAAAAAATGTTTGTAATAGATGATCATGTACACATACTTTGAATTTAGCACATAATTAGAAGAGTAAAATACAGAACTATCCAAAAGAGCTTTATTTTTTGGTGGGGGTGGAGAGGCGGGATGGTATCTCCCTTGTGCTCAGGAATCTGGGGTACCCCTTCCAGCAATTCTCAGTCAGTCAGCCCAGAGGATCAGTGCTAGGACCCAAATGTGGTGCTGTTTGGGCCGTGCGGTGAGAGGGACTGTCTAATCCTCTCAGTGGTACTTCAAGGCCTCCAGGGGCAGGCACACTTGGTGGTACTCAATGAATCACGTAGCCTCAGAAAATGTTATAGATCAAACCAAATGGGTCAAATGAAAGGCATCACTGAACTGTCTCTCTGGTAATTAATAGAATTTTCTACAATAATGAAGTGTTTTGAATGACTGCTGTCAAATATAGTAGCCTCAAATTACTTGAAATATGGTCACCATGACAAAGAAACTGAATTAAGTCAAATACTCCATAATTTAAATTATGTATAATAAATAACATATCTTACTGACTTTAATAGCATAAATTACTAATATTTATTATTAATCCAAATGTGAATGCTCACATGTGGTTAGTGGCTATTCTAGATAATGTAGCTCTAACATCTCCCCATTCTACTAACAAAAGTTTAGAAACGAAGAAGTATACCAAACACGGTAACAACAAGTCTCAAAATGGAGATGTTACTGGGCCCGCTCAAGCAAATCGATAAACAATGGGAGGACAGTGACAGTGACCAAAGGTTAGTCATTTAAAAATGGTCCAATGCGATACAGCCAAAGAGAAGGGCCACATGGAGGGCGGGGATCCACAGCTCCCATAGGAAAAAAAAAAAAACAGGTTCCAAAAAGAGCCGAGATCATCGGGAAGTTCCAGATGGGGTAGGTCCCGCATCCCGCCTCCCCCAGATGGAACCCCGGTGACCAGAAGCCTCTACAAGCACAGCTCGAGTATGCGGGAACTAGGACTTTTCCTCCAAACCACATCTCTCTATAAACAAAGTGATCCATGGGAAGTAAACCACCCAACGTTTCTCCCTGAAAATCAGAGTTAAGTTTGGAGCACGGCCACAGCCCCAGAAACACAAGGACTTAATGCAGAACCCAGCAGCTTGGAGCAGAAAAGTGAACGGACTATGCGTTAATCCAGGCCATCATGTCTGCCCAGAGGGGAAAGGGTGTTGCCCCATTCGCCCTCTCTTCTCTGGAAAGAAGGATGGCGGCTGCATGGGAGCCTTGTGTACAGCAAGTATGAGCCGAGGGTGTGGGGGCAACTAAAACCTCATGGGAAGGGGGGCATTCCGGTCCGTCCTTCACGCCCTACCGAGGACACCAGTTGCCTCCCACGAGCGGCTCTCCAGCACGGCCACAGCCCCAGAAGCACAAAGACTTAATGCAGAACCCAGCAGCTTGGAGCAGAAAAGTGAATGGACTATGCGTTAATCCAGGCCATCATGTCTGCCCAGAGAGGAAAGGGTGTTGCCCCATTCGCCCTCTCTTCTCTGGAAAGAAAGATGGCGGCTACATGGGAGCGTTGTGGACAGCAGGTATGAGCTGGGGGTGTGGGGGCGACTACCTCATGGGAAGGGGGGTGTTCCGGTCCATCCTTCATGCCCTACCGAGGTCACCAGTTGCCCCCCGCAAGCAGCTCTCCAGCACAGCCACGGCCCCAGAAACACAAGGACTTACTGCAGAACCCGGCAGCTTGGAGCAGAAAAGTGAATGGACTATGCGTTAATCCAGGCCATCATGTCTGTCTGGAGGGGAAAGGGTGTTGCCCCAGTCGCCCTCTCTTCTCTGGAAAGAAGGATGGCGGCCGCATGGGAGCCTTGTGGACAGCAGGCATGAGCCAGGGGTGTGGGGGCAACTAAAACCTCATGGGAAGGGGGGCGTTCCGGTCCGTCCTTCACGCCCTACCGAGGCCACCAGTTGCCCCCCACTAGCGGCTCTCCAGCACGGCCATGACTCCAGAGCACAGAAACCAATTTCTTAACTATCTGACTTTCAGTAGGAATACTTCCAGGGTCAATAAGTAAAATAGCAGAAATCCAAAACCAACATTTAATTCTTGAACCCAGCTGTAGAAAGCAAATCACTTCACAATGCTTTTTCAGCATGTCTGATTTGGGGGGGGGGTAAACTCTAAATAATAGTGGTGAATCTTTTATTGAAACAATGAATCTAATCAAAGCAGATAGAGTGTTAGAATTCATCTGCCTCACAGGGACGGGGAGGGGTGGGGGGTGGGGTTTTATTGGGGTTCTTCATGGTAAAAAATAAGTATTGGTAAAGGGAAATGTGTTTGATATTTGCATGACTGAGACATAAACCTGAAAGCTTTGTAACCTTTCCCACAGTGATTCAATAAATAAAAAAAAAAAAAAAAAAAAAAAAAGCAGATAGAGTGTTAACTAGAATTCATCTGCCTCACAGGGACTGGGAGGGGTGGGGGGTGGGGTTTTATTGGGGTTCTTCATGGTAAAAAATAAGTATTGGTAAAGGGAAATGTGTATGATATTTGCATGACTGAGACCTACACCTGAAAGCTTTGTAACCTTTCCCACAGTGATTCAATAAATAAATAAATAAATAAAAAATAATTTTAAAAAATGGTCCAATGCACTCTAGTGGAGGAATACAGGCTTTAGTATTGGGACTGGTGTGTTAATACTGTACTCTAATATATACAAACTTTTAGTCGTGCAAACCAACGTCATCTCAATACCCTCTCTAAAAATAAACATGGGACACACACATAAATCTCGGAACCCAGCAGCTCACTGCAGAGATGCCTCTGGACTTTGCAATAGGACACTTTTGCTGGGCCACTCTGGACCTGTCCCACCGCTTGCCCCCTAGGAATTCCGGAAGCCGCCATCTTCTAGAACTGAATGAAAGCTCCAGGTACACGAGCAGTGGCAGCAAACATCAGGCCTCATGGGACAGGGGAGGAGTCAGTCCCTCTCCTTTCCCCTGCCCTTGATGGGACTCTGAGATAACGCTCACAAACTGCCACTGTCCACTTAAGCTCCTCCATGATCCAGAGACACACACAAGAATCTCAGATCCAAGCAGCTCCCTGTAGAGATCTCTCCAGATCCTAATTATTGAAATTTTAAAATTCCTAGAGTGTGTGGCCACTCTTGTGGCTGCACGACATATTCTATCCATAACAAGCAATACAGAACAAATTGTCTAGCACTGCCTTTTCGGCAGATTTGAGTGGTGGTGGGACTGGTGTCGAAAGATCGAATGTAACCAAAGTAGAGAGAGAGTATAGGGGAAATTGTCCACCACACAGGCAGGGGAAGGATTGGAACGGGAGGGGGTGAGGGTGGGGAGGATACTGGGGATTTTGGTGGTGGAAAATGTGCACTGGTGAAGCGATGCATGTTTGATGATTGTATGACCAAAGCTCTAACATGGAAGCTTTATAACTGTATCTCACAGTGAATCAATAAAAAGGGGAGAAAATAAAATAAAAGTAAACATGGTGTTTGATCATTAGACTCTGTATGGTATTATTTCTAAATACAATCTTCTCTGATGATCTGCTATAACATAAATTAATTTAGAGGAAAAATGTTTTCAGAACAAGAGATCAATATCCAGCTGACATTATGTATAGGGTTATGAAAGGGACGGCACATTCCACTCTGAGTCTCTCGCTTCCCAGCTGGAGCTGATAAATTATCTTCTTTATGGCATATTCTATCTTGGAATCATAACACCTTTGTATGTAGGGTGTGCATCTTTCCACCTTCATTTTAAGGGTGTTCTCCACATGCAGGTTAATTGCACCCCAACTTGAGGTATGTAATTTCTCTATGGGGTTCTCTTCTCTCCTCTTTCTGGACTATCTTTAGAATACCTTCTCTCAACAAAACTATTTTACTATTAAAAAAAAAAAGTTTGGGATACGCCACAGAGATCCCTCCAGACCCTGTACCAGGCTGTCTCACCCGGGGCAATCTGGAGAGGAGGTGGGTAAGTTCCCCTCCCCACCTCAGTGAAGCCCTGACAGGTGAAAACCTCCAGAACTCAATCACTGGCTTGCTCATGGTCGCTCTCCACAGGCTCACACAAGCCTCACCCTTGAGTGAATCTGCTGCATAACCATATGTTAAATAATGAAATTCCTGTGTGTGTGTTGTGTGTTGTGTATGTGTGTGTGTGTGTGTGTGTGTGTATTATACATATATACAATAATCTTCACACACTTTCCTTTTTTTTTTTTTTTTGCTTTTTTGGGTCACACCTGGCAATGCACAGGGGTTCCTCTTGGCTCTGCGCTCAGGAATTACCCCTGGAGGTACTCAGAGGACCATATGGGATGCTGGGAATCGAACCCGGGTTGGCCATGTGCAAGGCAAAAACGCCCTACCTGCTGTGCTATTGCTCCAGCCCCCACACACTTTCCTTTAAGGAAACTTTTTCGGATAATTTTTAGATTTTTCATAATAAGCAATACAAAATAAATTACTCTGGTTCTGCTTTGGGGGCAGGGTTTGGGGTTCAGGATGGAAACATTCAAAATATGGTGGAAAGGTGTAATGGTGGTGGGATTGGTGTTTGAATATTAAATGTAATTAATTATTGTGAACAACTTCATAAAAATAAAATTTTAAAAATGTATTTGCAAAAGTGAGATACCAGTTTGGCTACTTCATGTTAACAGGAGGAATGGAGGGGCGGGAAAGATAGTATAGTGGGTAACTTGTTTTGCACAAGGTTGACCTGAGTTCAATCTCCAGCACCCCATACTGTCACTAGAGCTCTTACAAGGGTGGTCCCTGAGTGAAAGGGATAAGTTCTGAACAAAGCTGGAAGTGGTCCCACCAGAAAAAACACACAAAATAGGAATGGAATGAGTATAAATCAGTATATTATAAAAACTTTAAATCATGAAAAGGATATAATTGTGTCTAGTGAGAACTGTGGGCAACAACAGATCTTCCAGGTTGTCAGGACAGAGAATTAATGTAGAAAAAAAGCTTCCACTAATATTCTAAGAAGATACTATGTATTATAAATGACAAAATTTGCTACATATAATAAAGGCTATAAATAATGGTATATGTATGCTGTGATAATTTTGTTCAATATAAATACTAAGAAGATACTTCAGGGAAAGGCAACATCACAAGCTAAAAAATTTAGATTCCCATATAAAAAAGCAATCTGATCATGAAATTTTACATGCAACTCAGTTTGCCAAAAAAAAAATCAGGGAATTTTTTTCTTCCCTGAAGCTACTTACCAAGATAAACTTGGGATCCTTCCAGTGAACCTCCTCCCAAGGAACTATTCATATGTTCATAAAGTTCCTAAAAAATATAATTTAATTCACTTTAATATTACTTTAGATCCGAACTAAAAAGATAATGATCTGATTTTTTTCTCCTCTTTTTTTTTTTTATCAATTTATTGAATCACTGTGGGAAAAGTTACAAAGCTTTCAGGTTTAAGTCTCAGTCATGCAATCATCACACACATTTCCCTTCACCAGTACTTATTTTTCACCAAGAAGAAGCCCAATATACCTCCCTCCCAACCCTCCCAATGCCTGTGAGGCAGATGAATTCTAGTTAACACTCTACCTACTTTGATTAGATTCATTGTTTCAACAAAAGATGCATTATTATAATGTAGAGTTTACACCCCCAAATCAGACCTGTTGAAAAGACATGCTGAAATAATTTGTTTCTATAGCTGGTTACAAGAATCAAATGATGACACGTGGCCTCAATAGCGGCCGTGCGATTTTGGATTTCTGATACTTTACTTATTAAGCCTGAAAGTATTTCTGCCGAGAGTCAGATAATTATTAGACTGGTTTCTGTGGCTCTAGAGCCATGGCCATGCCGGAGAGCCGCTTGTGGGGGGCAACTCGTGACCTCGGTAGGGCGTGAAGGACGAGCCCGGAACGCCCCCCTTCCCATGAGGTTTCAGTCGCCCCCATTACGGCCGGCTCATACCTGGCTTTCCAAAAAGTTCCCGAGGCGGTCGCCATCTTGCTGTCCCTGATCTGATTTTTTTTTTAATTAACAAAGCTTGTTTTGGTAAGCTCTGAACTTAGAAATGAACAAGGTCTTCTGAAACCATGCCATATTCTAGTCCATCTTTTCTTCCCTTCCTGTGTCTTTCAGAACTTGATTCATTCACATAATCCAAGGATAAATTCCCTCTACTTCCTTTATAACTGTCCTTTTATGAGAATCCAAGGGAGACCGATGTTTCTGCATCATTGAGAAAAACATGCTAGCCACCTTTAATAGTCACTGAGATGATCACTCTGGACAAAAACTGAGTGCTGAAAGGAGATAAAGTGATATATATAACCTTTCAGTACCTGTATTGCAAACCACAACACCTAAAAAGAAAGAGGGGTAGATGCTGATGTCTGTCATAGAGGCGGGCTGGCTAGGGATGGGGAGGTGAAGGGGTGGTTGCGGGGAAACTGGGAACATGGGTGGTGGGAAATGTGTACTGGTAAAGGGACAGGTACTAGAACATTGTTATGACTGAAACCCAATCATGAACAATTGTATAACTATGTATGTGATGGTGATTGAATTAAAAAAAAAGAAAGAAAAAGAAAATGGTTATGTAGGTTTTTTTCCCTGCTATGAGAATTCAAAATTCAAATACTGACAGTTATTTAGTTATATGATCCCTGAGTACTATTTAGTTACGAAAAAATAACTAAATACTATTTAGTTATTTTTTAGGTTATTTAGCTTGCATAATGGTGCTGTCAAGATTTATTTGATACATGAACTATCTTTAGCCAAACACATCTATTAAGAGATATAAAGTTACCTTTAGAATGGAAATTTGGGAAAAGTCCTTCTCTTCAAAATATGCATGGGTAATGAGTTGTAGCTTTGCTTGAAGTAAACCATAGAGAGGCTTAAAGAAAACAAACAAACAAAAGTTATACCAGTAAATGACAGCCAAACACTCTACAACCTTTCACCTTGAATAGAACAGGTAGAAAAAAGTAACTGTCACCAGTTGGATCCCCTCATCTAGTTCTCTGGCCTCAGTTGAAAGTTGCCTGACATACAACACCGTGGTTGATGGAGATTATAGGCTCTGACGCTCTTGGTCCACTCCTCAACTCAGCCATAGAATTCTGGGCACTTAACTTCTCCCTATCAGCTTGCTGATGTGAACGTGAGTTTATAAAAAGCAGCATCATTTGTGTGGTTGTTTTTAGGATTAAATAACATGGGTAAAACAATTCACTTCTAAATTGTTTTAGAAAGCACTTAACTACTGGCTGTTATTACAAGATTTAAAACATTTTAATTCTGTACATAATTTAAGTTCACTTACTTTTTCATATATTTTCTTAGATGCATAAACAAGTATTCCTTAATTCTTATTTCTCGTGTATGTGTTTGTATGTGTGTGTGTGTGTGTGTGCGCACACACGTGCATGTATGTATACACACAAAAATCCTAGTTTTGTTTTGGGGCCATACCCAGTGTCAGTTTTATTTTGTTTTGGGGCCCCACCCAGCAATGTTTAAGGGTTACTCTGGGCTCTGCATTCATGAATTACTTCTGGTAGTACTCAGGGATCATATAGGATGCTGGGAATCAAATCTGGGTCAGCCTTGTATAAGTGAAGTACCTACCCACTGTACTATCTCTTGGGCCCCTATTTCATATGATTTTCTATTCTTTTATTTTTAACATTTTTTTCTAGATATTTTCTGATTTCTATGACATTTTCAGAATTAGAGGCTAAATTTGTATATTAACATTAGTTAAAATAAGACTAGGAGAATTCTTACCCTTTCCCCTAGTCTCTGTAAATATATTATTATTACCATGAAGTGAAACACATTTTTATACAAAAACAATATACAAAGACTGAAAGATTCCATAAACCACCAAGGCTTTTAGGCTGACCTAGCTCTCCTCATCCCAAATATCTATTTAGAGGAAAATAAAACCACTTTTAACCTTAATTTTTATCACTTAGTATTTACTTGATAACAAGAGTTACGCAAGTTTCTCCAAGTTACACCTTTGTAAAATGAGAATAAAAATCAGGTAAGTGCAAGCAGCTGGACTGTGCAGCCGCTGAGAGCACTGTGAACATGGCCAGGAGTACAAGTTCCCAGTTAGCATGTATCTAGTATTACACAGACTCCTGGTAAGCATTACAACTAGAAAATGCACAAGCGCAACTAAAGTGTGAGTTCCAGCAGGGGCATGATGACAAGGGGAGGGGAGAGTCAGATAAAGACAGACTCCCTGGTCACTGTTTTACAGTGTCAACAGTAAAAGGCATGGGAAAGGGGCGAAAAAAACAAATTCTTTATGGATCAGGAAGATAGCTTAAAGGACTAGCATTTGTGACTTTCAGATCCTAGGGTACAAGTTTAATCCCTTCTACTGTGCATTCCCTCCTACCCCTTGTTGGACCTGCTCCCCAGCACCTCTGTGCTCAAGCAGCATTGCCCTGGTATGAGTATCTAACCTTTAGGCCAGGCTCCTCCATGACTGTATTCCAGAAGCACCACTGGGAAGCCCTCCAGCTGCCCTTCCCACCCCAAATAAATCTTACTATTAAGGCCCAAAGCATTTCTATTCTAAAAATCTTATTATTGTTAAGGCTCATAGTATTACTATTACTTTTTTGTGTTTTGGGAGCCATATCCAGTGTTGCTCAGGGATTACTCTTAGTGGAGCTTGTGGGATCACATGTAGTGCCAGGGTTTAGACCTGCGCCCTCTTGCATGCAAACATGCATTTTACTGGACTTATCGTTCCAGCCCAAGACCCACTGTATTAACTTGCCATAATTTAGGGCTTATTTTCTTTGTGTGTGGGGGGAGGGGAGGACAGTGAGGTTTTGGAGGGATATGGGTGGGGGGTGGAAGAAAACCTCCTTAGCAGTGCTAAGGGGCCCAGGGGCCATTCCTGGAAATACTCGGTCAAGGGGTCATCAGCTTGGGCCCAGAGATGTTGAAGCATGTAGTAGGGTAGAGCTGGGGTGAGGCTCAGTAGCAGAAAACATGTCTTGCATGTGTAGGGCCTGTGTCCAATCCCTGGCACCACAAAAAAGAAGGAAAAAGAAAGTAAATTTATAAGAGTAAGATTAAGATCTGTATTTTTTTCTCACAGAAAAAAACTGTGGGTGTGGGGTGAATGACTGTATTTCACAGAGAATTAAGACACTTCTGTTATTGGGAAAGGTGATATTTTTCCTTTGGTAACAAAAATGGACATCACAAATGATTTAATAAAGAGAGTGATGAAAAATGAGAAATTTTAGAGGTCAGAGCCATAGTACAAGCTGGTGAGGCACTTGCTTCTACACTCCTGACCTGGGTTTGATGCCCAGCACGCCATATGGACCCAGAGCACCACCAGGAGTGATCCCTGAGCATAGAGCCAGGAGAAAGCACTAAGCACTTCCACATGTGGCCCCAAAATTTTAAAAATAAGTTTTTAAAATTATTGTATTACCATCAACCCTGCATATAGAAAAAGGAACTTTATAGTTATAGAAATACAAGAGGCTTCACAGATGCAAGGGAGATGCTACATCACTGGGCCATGTTCCTGGTTCCCAAGCTACATTTTTAAAAAGCTAGTTAAATCTTAGCAAAAGAGACATGTACTTCTATGTCCTCAATAAAAACTTAGTGACTATGATACTTGGAATTTTAGTAAATGACTCAATGGCTTGAGAACAAAACAAGGGATGAGAGAGATTACAACAGGCACATGCTTTGCATGCCGGAGGGCCATGGTTCTGAGAACAGAGCTGGGTACAGCCCCAAACCCAGTAACAAATAAAGTCACCCACACTGAATGCTTAACAAAGTTACTAACAAGTTATTTTTGATCTCTTACCAGCTTGCTTAGAACACAGACGCTCTTCTGGACAGTCTCTCTGGTGATATCTGCTTGCCTTACTTTTAATGCCTAGAATAAACATAGTTAGAAATATTTCACAGAAAAGATATTAATCATTCTTTTCCATATAAAAATTAGAAAAACTTAGTAATCAGAAGAATATCTTGCTCTCAGTTCATTAGATTCAGAAAGTATTAAAAACACTGAGCTGTGGAGAAGCAAGGTAGATGAGAAGCAACGGGGTATGAGGTCAAGGGGATTCATGTTCATGAGTGGTGTTAAGGAGTGACAGAGCTAACAATCCAAACCACAGAGTTCAAACAACACTGAACTTATGAGACCCAGACTTTAATATGCACACTTAAACGGTGCCTGTCAAGAGGGCAGGCTGGGGCTGGGCCCAGTGGGTGAGAAAGGGTAGAGTAGGAACCTGGGGACACTGGCAGTGGGACTGATGATGGAACACTGGATGTCAAAAACTCAACTATAAGTAACTTTGTAACTCATGGTGCTTTAATAAAATAAAATTTAAAAAATATATTGCGCTGCAAAGATAGTTGGATAGATTCAGCTCTTGTTTTTCATGTAGGAGGTTTCAGCCTGAGCCTTGGCACCATCACCACAATGCTCACACCTCACTGTGCCATTTCCCTAAGTTACATAAAAAATAGTAGAAAACAACATTAAAGGATATCATAATATTTAAATAAAATATCTCAAAGACAAATGGGTAGGTCAGGCATCACTACTAAAAAATCAATGTATGTGTGTCTGGGGGGGGAGGGTCAGAGCTTTATACTGCAGCATTACTGGTAGGGTGTTTGCCTTGCACATGGCCGACCCAGGTTTGATCACTAGCAACTCATATGGTTCCCTGAGCACCACCAGGAGTAATTCCTGAGTATAGAGCCAGGAGTAAGCCCTGAAAATTGCTGGGTACAGTCCCAAAACAAAACAACAACAAAAAGTTTTTAAATCAATGCATAAATTATTCCATGAAAAATATATAATTATGTTCACCAATGTCAACTGAGAAAAATGATCAAGTTTTCCAAATAATACTGAAAACATAGATGTGAACTTTTTATAAAAATTTAAAACATTACAGGAACTACTGTGTTTTCGAAAGATTATACTGCAAGTGGCCAACACTTCAGGAGGAATTTGAATGATTTTTACTGCTGTTGTTGCTGTTCATAGTAATGATTGTACCTTGGCTTCAATCTGCCGGTAGCAAGAGATACCATATACTGTGGTTCCATTTCCATTTCTGGGTGGCAAGTGAAAAAACACAGTATCTAGGAGATATATAGGAAAATGAAAACAGAGGTGAATTTCCTTTATTTAAAAATATTGAAATTTACAGCTATTAAATGTAGTCATTAAAACAAAAATCATAATAAGCAGGGAACTCATGCCATACTTATTTCTAGCATTAACCAATGATTTCTTGAATTACTTTTACTGCTTTATATGTATATACAACATGAGAAGACAAAAAAGCTTAATTATGAGATGCAGATTGAGACATATTCACTTGCTTAAAAAATAAATAAAAGACTTTGGTCTATATTGTTCCAGAGTAAAACAAAGTCGACTGCTACAAAAACCAAGGACCACTGGGGCCAGAGAGATAGTATAGGAGCTTGCCTTACATATAGGCAAGTCAGGTTTGATCCCAGGCACTACATACGGTATCCTCCACACCTCCAGTAGTGATCTCTGAGCACAGAGCCATAAATAACCCCTGAGCACAGCCCGGTAAAACAAACAAAACCAAATGACCCCCCCCCCCAACAAAACAACAATAGCAAAACCAAATGACCTTCCCCCCAAAACAAAACAACAAAACCAAAGCACCCATGAAATTCTTGGGACAAATGGGGAAACTTGAACACAGATCAGTAAATGCACTAAATTAGAGTTACTATTAAAATCTTTCAGCTATTAGAATTTATCTAGAGGAATGATGCTTTTCCCAGGAGAGGTACAAGTACAAGAAGTAAAAGTACAAGCTGAAGTACTTAGAAGTATGCTATGATGTTTGCAACAGTATAGCCATGACTGTTTACATATATTATTAAAAAGAAAACCTGCAGAATATTCACCAGACCATTCTTTCAGTTTTCTGTATATTCAAAAGATTTCATTTTATAATTATAAAAAAGTTAGGAAAATAAATATGTGAAGAAGAAAACACTACCTTTTATGTTATCTATATCATAATACTTGCTTCATTGTGTCATAAGAGAATATTACATGATAGTTTGGCAGTTAAACAGGCCAAGCTTAATTTGGTGTTTTGCTAGTTTTTAATACCACGACAAAAATACAGTTCTTTGTTAATTAAGCTTGTCAAAGAAAGCACCCATTTACAAAGTGGCAGGAGACTCAGTTCCAGATTCATAGTAGTGCCCTCTTGGAAGTGTGTAACATGCTCCACAGGCATGAAAGCACAATTTGAAGCAAAGCACTTTGATGAGAATAACTCCCAGAGAGAAAAGTAATCTGAGCTATTTCCAGGTGGTCACTGGAGTACCAACCTAGTTAAGTTTGCAGAGCTAGAACCATCAGTACAGGTGAGCCTTTACAGTTGCCTCTGATAAGAGTCTGAAATACAAATGCAGTAGCAGATGCCCTGAACTCAATAAGCTCCTGCTTTACTCAGGGCTTCTGACAAAAGAGTAGCTAAGGTTTACCAGCCACTACTGATAAACATCTGGCACTCCTTTGGAAAAGGCTAACTAGTATGGACATCGTATAAGTCAAAGGCTACTCATTGACCATATTTTAAATCTAAGGCGCTGAAGTAAATAAAAGGGAAATAAAGGACTTACTAACTGTTCCTTTTTTCTATTTACATACCTTCTTGGTAGTTGTGTGCGCCATCTGGTAAGGCAAGGAAAGGCAAATACTTCCACTCTTCAGGCAAAGCATGACTGTCGTGACCATCTCCTGGAATCAGGGGCGGGTAAGAGAATTCAACCTAAAATGGTAAGGAATGTTAGCCAAAGGTTTTTGATCGACATCTTACTGAATGTAATATGAGCAGTTCAACAAAGGAGTCAGAAGCAAGATCCACACTGTTTTCTTCAGCTGGCTTTTTTATTCCCAATATTTGTGGTTCTGAGGTTAAGGTTTTGATGGGGGTTGAACAGGCAGTGGATGGGTAAGAACCAACATGTCAAGTGATGAATTGTGGAGGCTGAGAACCAATACAATGCTATGGAAATAACAAAGTTCTAAACATATATATATATATATATGTATATATATATATATATATAATTACACACACAGTCCTAGTTTCTGGGATTCCCCAGGTATATAGTTTTTCCTTCTGTTCTACCACTTTTGGTTCTCTCAATGAGACTTTTGAAAGGCAAGGCAGAAGGAAAGGCAAAGGACTAATATTACTGTTTCCATCTTAAAAATTACAGGTGACATGTTTTATTTTTTTTCAAAATTTCAGATCACCATGTTTAATTTCCTAAAGTACATTTAAGCAGGAATTTGTAATACACGAGGTAACACAGACACTATTACAGTAACACTACAGGAATATAAATTACTTTGAGAACTCTTCGTATTTATTAATCCCTTTATCACATTTTAAATCATTTTTACATTGATTTATAACAGCATTAACATTTTTGTTTTTGGCATGCAATGTTACTGCACCTCAACCACCAACAAGTGCCAATATCTTACGACCAGTATCTCTAGGATAAGTCCCCTTATTGCCCATCCTTCCCTCCCCACCCTGTCAAGTCTTCATCACTGTATTCCCAGCTCCTTCTTTCGTGAATATATGACAGTTCATTTTCACACATCTCAAAGGAATCAAGCTGCATACACCTCAATGTAAAGCAAACTAGAGCATATGCTTTTGTTGTGGCACCAGGGATCAATGATGTCGGTGCTGGGACTCCAACTCATACCTGCAAGGCAGGCTTCTACCGCACCCCCCGCCCCCATACTTCCTCATGCCCTATTTTCTTTAAAAATTTTTTTTAATAGAATTACTGTGAGAGACCCTTACGAACTGTTCATGATATTTGGTTTCAGTCATGCAGTATTCCAACACCCATCCCTCCACCAGTGTACATTTCCCAGCACCAATGTACCCATTTTCCCTGCCATCACCACCCTTTCTCTCTCTCTCCCCCCCTCCCCGCCCCCCATCCCTTTCGGGCATTGGGGTTTGCAATACAGATACTGAAAGGTTAGCTGGTACATCCCTTTACCTACTTTTAACACTCAGTTCTTGTCCAGTGATCATTTCCAGCTATTATTGTTATACTGGTCCCTTCTCTATCTTACCCTCTGCCTCACACGCACTTGTGGTTAATTCTAACCATTGACCAGTCCTCCTAGTCCCTATTTTCCCTGGGTGTGGGTATTAGCCATAGTTTCTCTATCCATTCGTCTGTTCTCAGGCACTCAGATTGTTTCCAGATGCTGGCTATTATGAATAGTGCTGCAATGAACATAGGAGTGAAGATGGTGTTTGTTTCTGCAATGAACGTAGGAGTGCAGATGGTGTGTCTGTTCTGTGTTTTTGGGCCTCCAGGGTATACCCAGACATGGTACTGCTGGGTCAAATAGGAGCTCAATTTCTGTTTTTTTTTTGAGGAAGGTCCACATTGTTTTCCAAAAAGGCTGGACCATTTGGCATTCCCACCAAGAATGAAGAAGGGTCCCTTTCTCCCCACATCAACGCCAGCACTGGTTGCTCTTGTTCTTTTGGATGTGTGTCAGTCTCTGCGGTGTGCGATTATATCTCATTGTTGTTTTGACTTGCATCTCCCTGATGATTAGTGATGAAGGGCATTTTTTCATGTGCCTTTTGGTCATTCAGATTTCTTCTTTAAGTTTCTGTTCATTTCACTGCCCCATTTTCTGATTGAGTTGGATTTTTTTTCTTATAGAGTTCAACCAGTGCCTGGTGTATCTTTGATATTAACCCCTTATCAAAAGGTTTTTGGGTGAATAACCTTTCCCATTCCATAGGATGTCCTTCCCCAACATCATACTGAAAGTGGTAGTAATTAAAACAGCATGGTATTGGACCATGCTGTATCTTGGTCATTGTTTCTTTTGAGATGCAGAAGCTTCTTAGTTTAATGTAGTCCCATTTGTTTATCTTTGCTTCTACTTGCTTGGTCAGTGGTGTTTCATCTTTGAAGATATCTTTGGTTTCAATATCCCGGTGGGGTTTGCCTATCTTTTCTTCCATGTATCTTATGAATTCTGGTCTGATGTTGAGGTCTTTAATTCATTTTGACCTGACTTTTGTGCATAGTGTTAGATAGAGGTCTGAGCCCATTTTTTTGCATGTCCAGTTTTGCCAGCACCACTTGTTAAAGAGGCTTTCCTTGCTCCACTTCATATTTCTTACTCCCTTATCAACAACTAAATGCCCTTATCAACAACTAAATGATCATATACTTGAGGGTGTGTGTCAGGATATTCAACCCTATTGGTCTGCAGATCTGTCCTTAGTCCAATACCATGCTGTTTTAATTACTACCACTTTGTAGTTCAGTATGAAGTTGGGGAAGGTGATGCCTCTCATCTTCTTTTTTCTAATGATTACTTTTGCTATCATGGAGGTTTACTGTTCCATATGAATTTCAGGAGTGTTTGATCAATTTGTTTGAAAAATGTCAGTAGGTATCCTTTTTTTTTCCCCAATTTTTTATTAGTGAATCACCATGAGGTACAGTTACAGACTTACAAACTTTCGTGCTTGCTTTCAGTCATACAATGGTCAAGTACCCATACATGTAGCCGTGTAGTTTCACCAGCACAATTTGTTAAAGAGATATTCCTTACTTCACTTCACATTTCTTGCTCCCTTATCAAAGATTAGATGATCATATATTGAGCATGTATGTCAGAATATTCAACCCTGTTCCATTTGTCTGTGGCTATGCCTTTGTTCCAGTACCATGCTGTTTTTAATTGTCAGTAGGTATTCTTATAGGGATCACAATGAACCAGTATAATGCTTTGGGGGAGTATTGCCGATTTTGACAATATTAATTCTCCCAATCTATGAGCAGGGATTTTGTCTCCATTTCCTTATGTCTTCTCTTATTTCTTAAAGTAGCTTTTTGTAGTTTTCCTTGTACAGGTCCTTTACCTTCTTAGTTAAGCTGATTCTGAGGTACTTGATTTTCTGAGGCAGGACTGTGAATAGGATTGTTTTTTCATATCACTTTCTTCTCTTTCATTATTTGCATATAGGAAAGCCATGGACTTTGGGTATTGATTTTTTTAACCTGCCATTTTACTATACAAATCTATTGTTTCTAGGACCTTCTTGGTAGGTGCTTTAGGGTTCTCTAAGTATAGTATCATGTCATCTGCAAGTAGTGAGAGCTTGACTTCTTCCTTTCCTATCTGGATTGCCCTTCATACTGTTTTCTTCCCTAACTGCTATGGCAAGTACTTCCAGTACTATAATGAACAGAAGAGATGACATGCCGTATTTTTTTTAAAGATTGAGTCAACAAGTACCAGTGACCAGAGTATCATATCTGATACTATTGAATTTTAAAGGATGATCTGTGCTGGGTGATCTAGTCAATGCTTAAAAAGGCTCATAAAAGTAAGTAAGTAAAAGGCTGTTACTATATTTACTCCTATGTTCCAATAATTTTCATGGATAAAATTAAGGCAGGTCTAGGTTGAGTCCAAAATATTTTTACCACTATTTCATAGAAAAATGTGTCCATAATTTCAAACAGGTATCTTTTCCATAAAATTTAGACTGCTTGTATTCTTGGGAAAAAGAAAATGGGAGGAATCAACCTCCCTAACTTCAAACTCTACTACAAAGTAGTAATAATTAAAACAGCATGGTACTGGAACAAAAGCAGAACAGCAGACCAATGGAACAGAGTTGAATATAATGACATCTCCCCCCAAATACATGATCACCTAATCTTTGATAAAGGAGCAAGAAATGTGAAGTGGAGTAAGGAAAGCCTTTGTAACAAATGGTGCTGGCAAAACTGGCGGCTACATGCAAAAAAATGGGCTCAGATATCTGCCTAACACCATGTACAAAGGTAAGATCAAAATGGATTAAAGATCTCAACATCAGACCGGAATCCATAAGGTACATTGAAGACAAAGTCGGCAAAACCCTCCATGACATTGAAGCTAATGGTGTCTTCAAAGATGTCACGCCACTGGCTAAGCAAATGAAAACAGAGATAGACAAATGGGACTATCTTAAACTAAGAAGCTTGTGCACCTCAAAAGAAACAGTGACCAAAATACAAAGACAGTCCACAGAATGGGAAAGGATACTCGCCAAATACACATCCAACAAGGGGTTGATATCAAGGATATACAAAGTACTGGTTGAACTCCACAAGAAGAAAACATCCAACCCTATCAGAAAATGGGAAGACGAAATGAACAGAAACTTCATCAAAGATGAAATCCGAATGGCTAAAAGATACATGAGAAAATGCTCTACATCATTAATCAGCAGGGAGATGCAGATCAAAACAACAATGAGATATCATCTCACATCACAGAGACTGGCCCACATCCAAAAGAACAAAAGCAAGTGGTGCTGGCGCAGATGTGGCGAGAAAGGGACCCTCCTTCACTGCTGGTGGGAATGCCGACTGGTTCAGCCCTTCTGGAAAACAGTATGGAAGATTCTCAAAAAAACTAGAAAATGAGCTCCCATTTGACCCAGCAATTCCACTCCTGGGAATATACCCCAGAGAGGCAAAAAAGTATAGTCGAAGCGACATCTGCAGTTGTCTGTTCATTGCAGCACTGTTTACAATAGTTAGAATCTGGAAAAAACCAAGAACAGATGACTGGTTAAAGAAGCTTTGGTACATCTACACAATGGAATACTATGTAGCTGTCAGAAAGGATGAAGTCATGAAATTTACATACAAGTGGTACTACATGGAAAGTATCATGCTAAGTGAAATGAGTCAGAAAGAGAGG